TCTCACAATGCCAAGCCTAAAACCTCTTTTTTCACTTTTTTTTTTTTTTTTAAATAAAGGTATTGAAATAATGCTTGGTGAGGTATCTGTTCTTCATTCAGGCAGGTTTTACTTTAGAGGCATAGGTCCCTCATTAGGAAGGTGGGGACATCTACTGAGCACCTGCCATGTGCCAGGTGCCTCACAGTTTTTGCTGCATTTATGCCTAATAAGGTGAAGAGTGATCCTCATTTTATAGTTGGAAAAGCTTAACTCGGTCAGTTAGTGAAAGAGCCATGATTGAAACTCATTCACTCCATATATTTATGTCTACTCTTCCTTATTCTAAATTGAGAATTTCTAAGAACATTATACAAAACTTCGAAAAAGAAAAAAAAAAAAGGAAATCAGAGTAAAGGAGACACAGGAATTTTAAAAGTCAGACAAAGCCAGAGTGCTGAACAATGCATATTTTTAACATCCTATATGCTTGCTACAGGTGGCCTGCAAATTTGCCTGAACCTCCCAACTGTCCATGTGTGATTTGTTTCCTTAAAAGATTTTAAAAGGGCAAACCAGTGGCTTAAAGGCACATTTGCTCCTGAACCGAAACCTGTCGTTCTTCCTGCGGGTCCTCAAAGAAGCTACTGTACGTTGGAGCACACCAGCGTCATTCCTGACACGGACACGGATTTCGCAATGCAGTCCAAAGTTAAGTGTGCGAAAGGAGCTTGATGCGCGGCCAAACAAGGCAGCCAGGCACAAAGGTCTCCACAGCAGGCTTAATTTCAAGAGAAATGGATGGATTATTCAATATTTGGTTTCCTCCACAAACATTCCTCAAAAATGAGATTTTGAACGCCAGGCAATAGAGAGTTAAAGGTTGTTTTCTGACAAGTACGCAGGGTACAGCTCTCACTGCCACTATAAGGGCAGGTCCCTGTCGTCCGTGGAGCTGGGCACAGAGATGGGGTCCCCTTCGGAAACTGCAGCGGTCCAGTGAGGATACTGCCCCATCAGAGGCCTTGCCATCGCTTCACGAAAGGGATCCTCAGGGCACCCATTTACAAGATTTTATAAAAAAGTTTTGGATCTGTACCAACACAGGAACAATTGCTTAAAGCATCCCGCCCCAACTCCATATATTATAAATGCTATAATTTTCCACTGAATTAAAAGAACAAAAACAAAAGTCCTTAAGGACAAACCCCAACTTTACTTGGCTCCCAAGTCTCTGCACTCTGTGTGCTTCTAGCATGCCCAAGCAAGGCCCCGCGTCTTTCATTTGACCACTGAATGTAGAAAGGCTGGCAAGCTTTTAAGGACACAGACTTGGAAGAGACCTGCATGAATGTTGATTCCTATGTTCAAATTTACGCATTAAAGTCTTGATCTCATTTACTTTTCTATGAAAGTCAAACACTGGCTTTTGAACAATCTAGGCCACTACACAAAAGAATGTATCCATGAAGTAGAAAAGAAAAAAAAAAAGAGATAAAAATTGGAACTGCATCAAAAAGGTATAATTAAAGTAGCTAAACTGTATTTCTATTACAGGCACATTTCAAAAGAACTCCTAAGAAAGGAAAGTTTTTAGTATAGAATAGGTATATATGTATAATGCTAGCAGTGTAAGTACATACTATTTAGCCCTAGTTTAAAGTAGCTTAGTAGATTCAGGAGCATATCAGAGAGTGAGGTCAGAAGACAGAAACCCGGCCAGATATTTGAATAGGAAATTTTTAACAATTATTAATTAGAAGGTGATTATTTAAAAGGATAAAACAGAACTCTAAGGAGTCCAGAAGTAACAGCTGCAAAACAAAAAACAAACAAAAAAACCCCAGAAAACAAAAAACAAAAAAACCAGCTACTATCTCTGAAAGTTTAAAAAAAAAAAAAAAGGAGGAAGGAACTGAAGGCCAGGAGAGGCTTTCTTCCTCACCAGTCCTCCAGCGTGAGTGCCAGGCTTCACTGGACAGGGTGGCAGGTCCACAGAAACCCTCAGCCTGCTGGTGCTGAAGGGACTTGTCAGAGGGAATAGGCCAGAGATGACGGCTGCCTGGGGAAATGGCCAAGTGGCTGTGGAAGTAGCCCCCGGGAGCTTCAGCCAAGTGGCAGCAGGGCTGGAAGTGTGGCCTGGGGCGCAGTTCGCTGGAGCTCCTTTGCTGGGACCCCTGGGCTCCTACAAAAGGAAATGACAAGCCACAACCCAGACTGAAGTGTCTTCTATCTGCTACTGCTTTACAGTGCTACCTCAGGGCCCTCTACCTGCGAAGCCTAGCGCTCTCTCAGGCTGGTGAAGCAGACAAGTTTACCACTCCAGTGTGAACTCCAGTCTTACAAAGCAGGACCGAGAGGGATGAATTTGGAGCCAGGAGACAGTAAGTTGATAATTGCCATGGTTCACTCTTGGCTACTCAAGTTTCCATATACACCTACACTACCTAGTAGAGTAGCTACTAGTCACACTGGCTACTGAGTATCTAAAACATGAGTAGCCTGAATTGAGGTGCAAAATATGTATTAGGTCTCAAAGACCAACTATACAAAATAATGTAAAACATCTCATTAAATTTTCTATCAATTTCATGTTAAAATGATATTTTGCCTCTATTCCATTAAATAAAATATATTGTTAGAATTAATTTTGCCTATTTTTAAAGGCAGTTACTAGGAAATTTAAAATTACATATTGGCTTGCACCCCAGGTACTTAAGGCTGAGTAGCTGAAGCAACTTGGCTGCTTCTGACAAAGTGTCTAGTATCCAAAAAGCTCCATTTTGGTGAAATGGATTTTCGCACTGCACCTCCTCCTCCTAGAGGTTACGCACTTTAGTTCCACTCCACACCGCAAGCACTGCTCACCCGGCTCCCCCTGCCCCACCCTCTGCACCCATAGCTCAGAGACACGGCCCAAAGGCTCTGACTCAACACTTGTTCTGTCTTCTCCCTTTGCCTCTTCAATTTTTTACAATGTAAACATATTTGTGGTAACCAATAAGTACTGAACACACACTTCCTACATAGAACAGTTTCTACAAAAGCCACTCCAGAAGAATTCAATACAATAAAGGACATAAAGGATGCAACATGGTAGAAAGGATGGGACCACAGATTAGAAAACAATCTTGTTTCTCTTCCTGGCTCTGGCCAATGTGGGAAAGGCCACATAAATCCCTGGCCCTCAGTTTCTACATCTGCTTGGAGAAACATAGGACTGAGTTATTTCACTTTTATTCAAACTATGACATGAAATCCTTTCAGCGATTGTAACCAATTTGTGTGTATGTGTTTTTTAGAGAATATAGAATATTTCAAGACATATCCTGAAACTTTTGTTTCCAGTATGTATTTTACATACTGCTTTGCATTGTATATTTCTTAGTGAATATCACAGTTACTGTTTGAAAGCCACAGACATAATCTTTTTAATTCCTATACAGTAGTTTGAATTCTTACAGATTTGTTTTGCTCTAAAATTATTTCAAGACCAGTAAATCACGAAGCATGAAATCACAACTTATTATGGAAAGTTTTATCAAGGCTAAAATTTATTTGGTGCATACTCTGTGCCTGCTATGAGGTACTTTCACATATACTTTTCCTTTAATATGTAAAAGCAACCATGTGAGGTATTTTACAGGTTAAAAGAATAAGCAACATAACAAAAAAACTACTTCCTTAACTTATTCAGGTGAAAAGAAGGGTCATAAGCATTCCAAAATAAAAACAAAAACAAACCAAGGACATGGTCAATTTCCCTTTCCTTTTATACATCCTCTACATATATCACACTCTTTAGCATTAGAAGAGCCAAATCAAATAAAAAATCTTTCTTGTAATTTTGTCTACAGGTGCTTTTTAACCTACCAATTTGCTACCTTATGCACAAGGAGCTTAAATGCTGTCAATATCTAAAATAACTGTTAAGATGATCTAATACTTTGAAAATTCTGTTCACATAGAAATACAAGCCTAAAAATAGAACTATTTTTCAGAGGCAATTTCCCAACAGAAAAAGGCAATGGTAAGAGTTCAATTGTTGAAAATGATTTAAATAAAGTACCTTTGAGAAAAGAAGCGTAGGGAAAATTTTTCTAAAAATGTAGCACCATTACCTCAATAAATGAGCAAATTTCAAGGTGTGAAAATTACCTAAGAGCTACATGTTTTTTCAAATAACCTATTTTTATACTTAGAACTTCAAAGTATATACATTAAGCTTTCCTTATAACTAAAAGTTCAACATACTGACATCAAAGTATTTTACAAAATAAAAAGAAATTTCCTAATAAACAGTGACTACTGAATTGTTACAAAGAAAAACTCCTTAACATGAAGCAATTTTATTGCATATGTAAACTTTTCTCAAGAGAAATGTTATTATTGTGTTATAAACAAGATATAATCTGGTCAAGCTGTGAATGTATTTGACGAAACACTTGACCTTCTCAGTGCTTTTCATTTCCTGGATGTTTCTGCAGCCGTCCTGTGAGTCCCTGCTCTAAAACCATCGAACGAAGTACACAGCTCATACAGAAACCAGATGGAAAGCTGACTTTTTATTTTTTAAAAGTATGCTCTTACTGAGTGCTGCCAGCAATACTAGCATCAAATTATACTTTATAATCAAGTTTTGTGTGGTCAATGATATATTTAGTGTGTGTATACACATATATTTCAATGAATAAACAGTATCAGTACACTAAACTGCATATGGTTTATTTCAAATAATTGCTGGTTTCAGGTATTTAAAAAACCACAAACTATGGCAGCAACTATAATACATATGTATTTCTCTGAAAGATCATTTTAAAGTTGTCATATAATAATGGAATATAATTTAACAAAATACAAATCACATTTATAGCATAAGGCTCCATCTGTGACTGAATGAATAATCAGCAAATCAAAGAAAAATATCATTAGAAAAGAAGTAAACTTCAGCTCTGAGGTCAGACTTTTATCATGGTAAGCTCAAAATTAATCTCTTGGTAGCCAGAAGATACAAGTGCTCATTTTTATAGAAGTAAAGTTTATTACATTTGAAACAATACAGCAGAAATCTCAAAAGTTTACTCATTAAATATAGTTTAATTCTTACAAATCTCCTTTTGAAAATGTAATTCATGTATATTTCAACCTCAGATTTTTGAATTCCGATGAAATATGAAGGCAGTAGTCAGAGAAATCACATCAGAGGGCTTTGTCAAACATCTGTACAAATCAGTACCTGCCTCTACTGTCTGCAATACCATAGGAAAAAGTGATTCTAAATATGTCCAAATAAATGCAAAAAAAATACATTACTATTTGAGGCAGACCATGCTAAAATATAATTTACAATGAGTAATTTGCATTTAAGGTGGTTAATAATGCCTTTAGTTTGAACCAATGAAATCAACATTATGTTAAATTTGCAGTATTTGCTCAGTCTTTTGTACTAAACATCAGTTCATCTGAGAACTAAGCAAGATTGGAAAAAGCAAGTGACCATTCCTTTCTCATTTTGCTTATTATTTCCTCATTCAGTCATACTAAATGCAAACAAATCAATGCAGCATCAAGATTTTTCACATACTGAAATGAAGACTAATGACTTGTGAAGGCAGACTGTGTACCATGTAGTATATATGATAGATAAAACCTGAAATTATCATCAACTCAATTTTTTAAAATAATACCAGATTTTCAAGCAAAATAAACATTTGATTTAAAAATTCTGTTATTCAAGATACTCGGGTATCTTTTTTTTCTCTTTGAAATAGGTACAGATTGGGTCTTTTAAAAACCTGAAGAGAATATGGTAAGAGGGAAAAAAATCCTCAATGCTTTAAAAAACTCTACTCTTAACAGAAGTCCATACAACCACTATGCTGGTATGGAAACAGGTGTTCTCTCTCTTAGAATCATCCATTTTCCCACAGAAGCAGTTCCTCCAAGCAAACTATACAAAGATGTAAATCAGTTCACCCATGATTAAAACTGAAGTAATCTTTCAAAAATAGGAGCAATACACCTCACCCAAAAAGATCTTTTAAATCATTGCTAGCTGAACTGCTATTGGTCATAGTGGTTGGTGGCTGTGCAAAGTTCTGGGGGTTAAAGAAAGGATTAGCCTGCATCCCAAAGGCAGATGGTCCCATCATGTTCATCTGTGTTCCCATTACTGCACTGCCCATCCCTGGAGACCCTTGAGGAGGTGTGAACTGATTAAGCCACTGACTCGGTTTCTGTTGTGATAACTGGTTCATGCTAACTTTGGGTTTCTGAGGGCCAAAGAGATCGTTAAGAGCGGACATGTCTGTGGGTCTTTGTTGAGTCTGCTTTCCACCAGCGGGAGGGACCCCCACGGCACTAAAGTTTGGCACAGCAGAAGGTGTTCCCAGGGGCATCGCGGTCACTCCAGGTGTGCTCGGACCACTGAAGAAGTTCGGGTTTGCGTTCACTGGCATGCTGAATCCTGAAGTCTGAAAGCCCATGTTAGCATTTAGGCCATTTGTCAAATTCCTCTTTGTATTATCAATTGGTGTAGAAAACATCATGCCAAGGCCCATGGAAGGAACAGAAGTGAAGGTACTTGAAGCAGAACTTTTAGGGACACTAACAGACAAGCTGGTCAAAGATGACATATTATCCATCAATGTATCTGTCAAGTCCTTAGTCTGAAAAATAGGAGGGAATTACTTTATCTCTAAGAATTCCAAATTACTTTATAATTAATAAACATTGGACAGAATTTAAATTTTAATAGTTTATTAAGGACAAGTTAAAATTAAGCTCAACAGTCTACACCAACTTGACAAGCCATGGCCCACAGGCCAAATCCAACCTTCCAGTACATATTTCCGTGTTTTTTACAAATGAACATTTGTAAATAATTTGTTGCTAGGGGACACTAATTTTGAACTCAAATGAAACAGTTCCCTCCATCTTCCCCAAAATACAACTGTATTCTTCTCATTAATAAATCTGTATTACAAAAACACATACTTTATTTTTTTGTATTTTTAACTTTATCAAAATTTTGTGAAAATTTTTCTGTATTATTATATAAGTAACTACAAAATATTCTGGATTTTGTCTCCTGGCACACAAAAAATTTCTTTTCTCAGAATTTCAATGATTAAGAGATAACAAAAAATAATCTCAAGAAAGCTTTGAAGAAAAAGTTACTTCTGAAACTAGTAAGAATGTGAACACTACAAGCAGAGACTTTAATCATTGTCATAATACCAGCACCTCTAACATTGCCTGGAACACAATAGGAGGTAAATACTGGTCAGGACATATAAAAACTAATCCCAATCAAGTTACAAACTCAACTATAATTGAAAAGCCAAAATTTGAAAATTATTTTTTGTTTAAAAATACATAAATGCATGATTATATTCCTGATCATTTCAAAGTGATTAGTGTTGAATTAGTATCATGACACCTAATCTTTAAAAACAAAACAAAACAAAACAAAACTCCTGTTCATCTAGCTTCCTCCTTATTAGTAACAAGCACTATCATGAAACATTATCCACCAGGTAGGATATTGAGGTGTTGTCAGAAAATCCTTTCTACTCATACTTTTTAGAAACTGCACATTATATTCTTTAAAATACACTTTTATACAAATCCCAATAAGCAAATTAAATTCTATACTATCTTACCCCTTAAGAATAATATGCTTTAAAAAAAAGAAATGAACTCTGACCTGTTTGACAGGAGCAATAGGTGTGTGCACTTGGGGTTTAAGAGGCTGCTGGTTTTTCAACTTCTGTGCCTGCTCTTGTTCTTTTGCTAATTTTTGTTTTTCTTCAAGTGTAAGCGATGCCTTTAAAAAAAATAAAAATTTAACTGGCGGTGTCAGAATTTCATTTGAAAAATAGCAGATTTCTTATTTTGTAAAGTATGTCTTGGTATGTTTGACAATACCTGTATTGGTGATTGCCACAGGTAAGTTATGTTTTGAATTAACTTTAAACAAACTGCAAAGAATGATTAACTTTAGGTAGGAACTCACAGAATTGTGTTAAATTATTTCCGACATGAAAACAATTATTATTTTAAAATCATTCATTAGAGTCATATTTTTCTAGACAATAAGAATACGATTAGGTTACTTTATTTTATAAAAAAGGGAGAATCTTGTTCAACTCTAGTCTATGGGGGGGGGACCTTCAAAAAATCCGGAATTTATTTATAAAAAATTGTATATTTATTCATACATGTTTAAACTTCAGTCACCTTCAAAGTACTCTCCATTTGATGTAATACACCTATCAAGACTTTTTTTTTCCACTGCTCAAAAAAGTTTTTGAATTTGTCAATTTTGATGCCTTTTCATGCTTCTGTCATTTTTTGTTTCACCTCTTTCACATCGGCAAAATGTTTCCTTTTGAGGATTTTTTTCATCCAGGGAAACAAAAAAGTTCCCTTTGGGCAAGATCAGATAAATATGAAGGGTATGCCATGGGGGTTGTGTCATTTTTGGTCAAAAACTGCTGAGCACTCAGCGAAATGTGGGCAAGTGCACTTGCAAATCACCCATCAGGAAATGGACAAACATGTTGAAACAGTCTTCAAAAAACCTTCACTGACGCTGAATGAAGCCTCTCATCACAACGTCAGCTGCTGCACTGATGCAGATGGGTTCCTAGAACGCTCACCTTGGGGGTAGGAAGCCTAAACTGCAAGGGGCCTGACCCTCCAGAAGATAATTCTGGTTCTTTTGGGTCCCCCCTTATATCTCACTCCAAAATTATTTTAGGAATGCATCAAAAAGCCAGGGAAGCAATATACAGCTTCTTTCACAATGGCCGCATCAAATTTGATGTTTGACTTTCTCTTTTATCAGCCTTGCTAACCTATAAACTCATAGTATACCCTCTTACAGCTTTTTAAACCGCAATGTCCAGTAGCTCCATGGCTTTCCCACACAGGTACTCTTACTTGCTGAATGACAAGAAGAAAATTGCTCTCAGCAGAAATTCGAAACTGAGGTATTTTTTTAGTATTGGATACTAACCAATATTTCAATTGGAAAGTATAATTTTATAGTTTATTATTATTCAAAATCAGAAGCAGAGAAGAGGCACAGAAATTGCCAAGGGGTGTGACTGACAAAGCAGAGCAGAACAAAGTTGTCAGGAAACCTAGAAACGTTACCATGTGGGAGGCTGAGTAATAAGCAACTAAAATCTTAATCATGTTTATTCTCAACAACGGTCAGCTCATGTTCCACTGATAACTTTTAAATTTCACAAAACTAATTAAAGAATATTTCTTGTTAAAATGGTAAATACTTATTTCTCAACAAAAATCTGTGGATTATAGGAAGTCCTACTATATACATATGAGAAATACAAAGATCCGAAGTGAAGAAACGTACTCTTTTATGTTTATTCTGTAACACATCCTCTTTATTTTCTGACTCACCACCGGTCAGAAGGTCTGCTCCAATATTGTTAAAGACTTTGTCAATCTGATGAAATAGAAAAAAGTCAACCATTTAAAGGACATCAAAAAAAATCTGTGATTTTACTTCCTAAACAGCAAAAGCCCTCCCCCCCAAATGAAGCACACTGTCAAGCACTTTTTTACAAAAACTTAAATAATCTAATATCTTCTTACCTGAGACCCAACATTTGTAACTTTTGTTTCATCAGAAGCATTCATTTGATTTCCTATATCCAAAGATCTGCAGGAAAATTGAGAATTATGACAAAGCAATCACAAGAAATGCATATTTTTTAAATACTCATGCTAAAAATAATTCATCCACATTTAATTTATTACAACCTAAACCAACTGCAACTTCATTCTATAAATCTTTTTCACCACTTAATAGTAGTACTGTCTGCTTGCCCCCTAAATTAACATTTGTATACAAGTTATTTTTTGTTGTTTTTTTTTTTTAACTCAACATCTGAGATTTAATGGAAAATTTACTCAGGATGTCATAAAACCAGGCAAGCAAGTCCTTACCGTAGGTTTATACACTGAGAGATAAGATATAACATGGGGAAAAGTTTAGAATCTGTGACTCTTAGTAAATGCTATAATCACTGTGATGTGGACCCAAACCATGCCTTGCAAAAAAGATACAATTAAGATTGGAAGAAGGAAAAGAGAAGGTTCATTTATACAAGTACTGATACTAGATACTAAAATTTTGTTATAAATTTTTTTAAATTATTTTTCAGGGTTTCTGTGTTTATATAGTCAATCCATCAAACATCACAAATATCAATATAGATCACAGAATACTCAGAGCATACAAAGGCTATTTCACATCATTCTATAATATACCTTGTGTATTTACTTCCATAAGCCTTCATCTTACATTGGAGTAGAAGCTAAAAAGTTTCTTTTTGGTAACCCTGTTCATGATTGATATCAATTTCACTGATTTTCAGATGTCTTTTGGCTTAGAATTAGATTTTAACAGGTATTCTAAAACCATGTGTTCCCCTCAACCCCCACTCCTGGGGCAAAGAATGTAATGAAAATTTGATTTTAATAAACTGCATTCTCCAGTGTATAATTTTCACCTTTTCCTCCTTCCTTTGAATATAAAATGAATACCCTATAAATGTTTCTGGGGTTAGAGAAAAGAGAAAGGGAGAAATCAAAACACCAGGGGTTTTACAGATTTGAAAATTATTTGTAAGTGATGCGCTTAAGGACCAGTACCCTGGGTTTACAATGCCAGTGGCTAATGCTGACAAGAGATTTTCTCAGAAACAGAATTTTCTCTACATGGAGAAAATGCTAAGATTATATTGTATTATACTTTTATACTCAGAAATAACATTAGATTTTCAACAATTGTCTATTTTAACTCAGTTCAATTTAACATATTAAAAATTTTTTGTCAAATTGAAAGCCATCAATTTTTCTAGTCCATATTCCAGAAAATTAATCGTGAGATAATTCTAATCTTAAGACTAGACCACATGCAATTCACATGCAAGCTACTTACTTCTGCTGTTCTTGCATTATATGAAGTTGCTCCAGCTTAGTCTTATGTTCAGACTCCAATCTATTAAGCATCTCTTTAATGACGGAAATGAAAGAATTGAACTGGTACAACAAGAAATAGATATGATTACAATGTTTCGAGTTAGCAACAAATGTTAACTAATAAGATAATTCAGCAAGTTGATCATAATATTCCCTATTTTTACCTGAATATGACCCACTCATAACATTGATGTCACAAAAAAGTGCATTTAAACTCAGTGTATCATAGCAAGCTTTTACAATATCATAGTATGATGGTTATATAGTTGATGAACTGTTAAGTTCCAGAAAATGCTTAATTAATTTTATGTCCTGATTGTCTAACAGTTATTATTCAGGGGTCTTACATAAATTCATCCCAAGCAGTTATTACATATTGATTTTCCTAGAATAACCCAAAATTGACCATCTAAGTTTGGGCATATCCAGAAACAATATGCTTAATGATGGATAAAAAATTACTGTGTTTTCAGATTGTTATAAAAAGGTTTGCCCAAAATAAACCTTGTTTTTCTGAAAAGTCAGAAATACTAAATGTGCATAATCTAATACTTCATAAGTTCATAAAGTAAATCTAACACTATGTCTTAACACAGTGGTTAAACTTTGCTTAAATAATTCTTATAGTGCCCTTCCAGGGTCATCATAAATAATTTAAATAATACCATATATTACAGAAAAAAATCTAGTACTTTCTTTCCCTCCCCAAATCTTATAACTATACCTTTGTGCTGGGTACTTATACATACACTATTTCACTAACCTTGCAACTCTTCAAAGTTGGTTTATTAATACTTCTATTTTATAAATGAGGAAATTCATGCTCAACAAGAAGGAAACTTTCTCAGAGATATTAAATAACTTACATGGCAGAAGCATAGTTCACCCTGCCTGTCTCCAAGGCTTCGCTCTTTTCTGCTACACATGACGTCACCTCTCACCGTGCTCTACGACCCACTTAACCTTTGTCTTACCACGACAGTAACAAAAGGTATGCTTCCTGACAATGACCGACTCTCTGCTGATTAGTTTTTAAAACTTTTTAATGAAGTATAACATACTAACAGAAAAGTAAACACATAAGCGCAAGCCTCAAAAATTCACAAACTGAATTTAACCAGCAGCCTTATGAAGAAATAGAACATTGGCGACACCCCAGAAGCTTCCTCCTGATGTCTGTCAGTCATTTACCAACCCCTCACCCTGTACGTAAACACTAGTCTGGCTTTTAACATGTAGTTTTGACTGTTTTTATACTTTATGTAATTGGAATCATTCAGTACATCCTCTTTTGTCTGCTTTCATTTGCTCACCATTATGTTTGTGAAAGTCATCCATATTGCTGCATGTAGTTGTTGCAAAAAGAGTTTATGTAGGCCTGAACTGCTCTCCTTGGAAAGGCCGGACACAAGACTGGCCCTAGGCCGGCGTCCAGGAACTCAGAGTTTCCCATAATTAACCAATGACAGTGGCTCACTGTGCCGACCAGGGGTGTCCTACCTTTTGGCATCTCTGAGCCACACTGGAAGAAGAGTTGTCCTCGGCCACACATTAAATACACTGCAACATGTAATCACACACACAAAAAAATCTCATAATGTTTTAAGTAAATTTACGATTTTGTGTTCGGCTGCATTCACAGCCATCCTGGGCTACATGCGGCCCATGGGACCCAGGTTGGACACCTCTGGAGATTGTACAAAGAATATGTTTTATGCTGAAGACCTGCTTTCCTTCTGAGAGTCTGGAATTTGAGTACCTGACAGGCAGAGGGTTCTACTGGATCAGCTCCCAATAAAAACGCCAGGCAATGAGTCTCTAAGGACTCTGGCTGGCAACATTTCACGCATGTTGTCACAACTCCTTACTGGGGAAATGAAGCAAACTCTTTCAGACTTTAGCAGGAGATGACTCTGGAACCTTGAGCCTGATCTCCGGCCCCTACTTTGACCTATGAGCCTTCTCCTTTTGCTGATTTTGCTTTATATCCTTCTACCATAAGAAATCACCTATGACTACAACTACATGCTGAGGCCTATGAGTCCGCCGAGTCAATCACTGAATCTGGAGGTGGTCTTAGAACCCTTCCCAAACATAAGTTGTGATTAGTGTTTTGATTGAGGCACGCAATTTGCTATTTTAATCAAATGCTAAAAATATATTTTCCTAAGTTACCTCATCTTTTCCACATAATTCATAATACGCTTAGAGAATTTTCAATCAAAACTGACAGAAGAGGGTAGTTTTGAATTAGGAAAAAACCCTGTTCATAAAATGAAATAGACCACGTTAACTATTGTAAAAATACCACAAGATATGGATCAAAGCATTTCTGTTGATGAAAACAGGCCCCTAAAAAAAATCAACCATAAAGCTGAAGAAAACCAACACCATATTTCAAACAAAATTATGTATCCTAAAATAAGCATTTGGTGATATTTTTAAACATCCTAAATCATAAATATAAGAACTAAAAACAGAAATGACCCAAAGTTGAAGACTAGCTCACACATATGGTCATCCCATTCTTTCCCAATATTCACTGCGTCTCTTTTTTGCCAATCATAACCTCATCCAAGATGCCATCCAAGATATGAAGAAAGTATCAAGCTGAAATCTAAAATCTAAGAATACAAGCTTTCAGAGGCTAACCCAACCACTTCAGTGAAATTTTGGATCTTATTTATGTCACACGTTTCTGTAATTCGAAAACTCTGTTAACTCAGCACTCTCTCTCCCCTATGCCAAAAGCTCTCTTGCTTAACTCCCAGCTTTGCTCTAATTCACTTGTAGTCCTTAATTCCAAATCTTGCCTGCCTATTTCTCCCACTCTCAGTTTAACGGTAACCCTTCCCAGTCTTTTCCATTAGACTTCATTAAATACCAGTTCTGTGGTGAACAAAGCATGTCATTTCTGTACCTCAAATTCTCTCAATAAATATTTTCATTTCTGGCACTGTACTAACTGCCGGGGATATAATGAAGAATAAGCTATAATAACCAGCCTTCTGGGAGAGCCAGGCACGTAAGTACATAGCTGTGATAACTACAGTGATAGTTATGCAGAGAGACAATTCTATAATAATTGTTCAAAAACTCTATAACTTTTGAACAGATTACCCCTTTACTCAAGCCTTTACCACATCTTAAAAGTTCAAATATCTAAGTCACGCAGGCATTTAAAATCCACCTTTTCTATCCTCACTTTATCCTTCTCCCAGTACTCCCCTGTGGTATTATAAGTATTGCTCGAACTGATCATTCATTCCCAGTGGCAGGTAGACTAAAATGGTTCCCAATTATCGCCTCATTCTGCTACCCATGCTTTGGTGTAATCCCCCATCTCTGAGCATGGCAGGACCTGCGATGTGCTTGTAACCACGGAATACGGCAAAGGTAATGGGGTATTGTTTCCTTGATTATGTTATAAGACTGTAACTTCCACCTTTCTAGCAGATTCTCTCTCTTTCTGGCTTTGATAAAACAAGTTACCATGTTGGAGAAACCCATGAAGCAAAGAACTGACAGTAAACTCACCCAGCTGAGGCCTCCAGTCCAACAGCCCAAAAGGATTCCTGCCAATAACCATGTACTGGGCTTAGAAACAGACCATTACACCACCTGAGCCTTCAGATGAGACCCAGCCCTTGACTGGAGAAGTACGAGAAAATGAGCAGAGAATACATGCTCCGGCTTGGCTGACCCACAGAAACTGAGATAGGTACTGGTTATTGTAAACCATGAAGTTTGGAGTGATTTGCTATGTGGCAATAATGAATACACACCCTAGACACATTACATTAATATTTCTTTGTTCATGTATACTTCCCAGCCTCAAAAGTGAAGTAGCCCCAAATCCTACACATCTTTCAACATTCTGCTTATTTACTGTCTCCCAGTGAAACCTCCAATAATCCATCCTTCCATCCCTCATACTCCTTACTTCGAACCCACAAGCTTTCACTTAATTCTGACATAGTTTTCCTTGTTTTACCAACATTTATATGTAACATATTTCTATACTGAATGCCAAGAAATAGTAAACCGAATTAATTGAAGAAAGCACAAAACTACTCCTACCTGATTGAGATTAAGATTATTTTCAATACTCAGAGGAATAAGATGAGGCAATACTTTGCCAGCGAGCTGCTCTTTGGTGATTCCCAACTTCTTATGAGTAAAAGTACATTTGTAAATGCCTGATAGAAAAGAAAGAGAAAACTGTATAATTTAATACCACAAATTAGGAAAATAGTTCATCTACATGAAATCTCTTGGTAATTAGTATAGTTACAAATTTTTCTTTATCAGTGCTTAGAATATGGATCAGAGTGATTTCAGCTTCATCGTCAGTTTAGATTTAAACACTGACATATTTATCCTGTTTAAGAGCACCTTTAATAACAGGATAGCATTCAAAGCCTATCAGAAGTAAGTACAGTTCTTACAGTGCAGCAGCAAGGTTACAGCATGCCCTCTATGCAGCAAACATTTACGGGTATGTTTCAGACCTCTCACTCAGCTGGAGGCACCTATTTCAAAGTGTGTAAGTACAGGTTCCACACTTTTATGCACATCTTTAACCAATGAGACTCAACATATTTGAACCTTAGTAATTTAATTCAACTTCATACAATACTGTTGTCTCATCTATTCACTGGGACCTCAAGACTTTGTTGGTTATACCTATTCCACAAAGTCTTCCTTTGGTCAAGTGAGCATGTTTACTCCTTACTCTCTGTTTTTGTGTTGTAAGTGTTTTGCATATAATCCAAGGCTTTAGAGGCCTATCATATACCATCGTCTATATTCTCCTGTTAATGTACACGTTACTTACTCATATGTACTTAAAGAATAACTTTACTGAGAACCTACTGAATGCTTATTTGCTAGGCACTATGCTAATTACTATCTCTTCAGTTGTCTCACTGAATTCTCATTAAGACTCCATTTATGATGATGTAACTTTGGTCCTCATTAGGTAAGATGAAGAAACGGATTGGGGCTCGGGCTCTTTCCACTATGCGAAACTCCTTCTTAAGACTAATTTCTTTGAGCCCAGAAGTTTCATAGCATATCCCAAAAGTTCTACAATTCCAGAGGTCCACAATAAATTACTTGTTGACCATTTCTGCAAATATTTACTGAGAACTTTCTATTGACCAGACTATAGTAGGTGTTAAAAATAAATGGCTGAGTAATACAGTTTTTCTTCAAAATTAACAAAGAACTTCAAATGTAGTAAAAAGTGAACTTTTTATTGTTTTTGTGATTCATTAGTTATGTCTGCTTTTGTTAGCATAGCAGAACCACAGCATTTCCAGATTGGACTCTCATAGCTCTAACTATTAACAAACAATTTCAGAGTTTCTTGACATAGTAATCTGTAATTATGCTGATAGAATAAAATGTGCTGTTAGGCTAATATGCTTCATCAGCACATTACTTAGCAGTGAAACATAGTGGTTAAGATTTAAATACACCTAAATTAAAAATCAGCTCTATCACTTATCAGTTGAGTAATCTTCAATAGCTTCACTTCTGAGCCTCAGCTTGCTATTGTAAAACAGAAATAATAGTACCTATTTCTCCCTGGATTTTGAAGAGGACAAAATAAGATAATGCAGAGAAAATATTAGCATAGTGTCTGTTACAAATTGGGTACCAAATGAACATCAAGTATTGCTATTAAGACTACTATCAGTATTTCAAGTAGTTTTGTGTCTCTCTTTTTTGGTACCATTTTACAGGGAAAAATATATGCTATCAGGGTATTTGTGAAGTAAGAATTCCCAAATGTCTTATTCCTTTGTAAATGTCAAGGTTCTCCTGCTTTTGCTAAAATTAACAGAAAGAAAATTTTTATCATGGCATTTATCCCATTATTCTTCAATTATTGAATGCTACATACAATACATGAGAGTACAATGGTTCTATAGGTTGAAAAATTTATTTGCATGACTGTAAAACGATTAAGTAGTATCAAATGATATTAAGTTTTCAGCTACCTAAAATCCCCATGAGGACTGCGGGTTCCTTGGATGGAATTTGTTGTAAGAAGGGCAGGATATCATCAAGTACAAACCACTTATCCAAGTATTCCAAAATCTTTCCTAAGCACACTAATGAATTTACACGAACCTATTAAAAGAGGTAAATTGCATTAGTCATTTAATGTCTTTACACAATCTAGAACAAAATATTTAAGTGTAAATTTAATCTTCCTATAAATATGTTAAAAATAACCCAAAAATAAAAGGTTTAAAAGCCTTCATCCTTTATTAGTATAGGAGATTCACATAATTACAAACTCCCCTGACTTGTTTCAGAAAGCATTTACAATGGCTTTACCAGGACACTAATTAGCTAAAGCTAAGGAATGACTTCAATTTTGTATTTTTTAAAAAATAAAGTGGTTAGGATCTGAGAGGCTTTGTGTGTTTACTAAGAACATTTCTTTGGGGACATCTGAATCATAAAACAGATTACATTCTTCCACCAAGTAATCAACTTGACTGGGCTTCCACTATTTTTTATAACTCAGATTCAATTCATTCTTTTTTTAAATTTGTTTTATTATTTATTCTATTACAGTTGTCCCAGTTTTTTTTCCCTTTTGCCCCCCTCCACCCAGCCCACCCCCTCACCCACAGTCAGCGCCCTCTCCGTTGGCCTTGTCCATGAGTCAGTCACACGCGTTCTGTGACCAGTCCTTTCCCCTTCTTTCCACCATTACTCCCTCCCTCTTCCTCTCCAACAGCTGTCAGTCTGTTCCATGTTTCCAGATCTCTCGTTCTATTTTTCTCATTAGTCTGTTTTGTTCATTAGATCCCAGGTATCAGTGAGATCATATAGTATTTGTCTTTTGCCCACTGGCAGTATTTTGTCTTTTGTCTTATTTCACTTAGCATAATAGTCTCCAGTTCCATCCTCAGGTTCAATTCATTCTTAAACTAAATATTCTAACAACATGTAAAAAGAATCTCTATTTGTCCTACATAAAGTTTTCTATTTCTAAATATATCTTTAATATAGTTATTAAAACTATTTAGGAGCTCTTTTATCAAAATTCTATTGTCTATTTGACTATTTTGATATTTCACACTCTATTTTTTCATCTGGAATTTGTTAAGATAGGATACTCAGCCAGAATCATATCAGTAAAACTCTACGTTTCCAAAAAAAAAAAAGTAAATTAAAAAAAAGCAGAATACAGTTTAAAAAGCACAGTCTTTCTGCAAGAAAGATGAAGATTTTTTCTGAAAAATAATGTATATTTTTTTCTGAAATTCAAACACAAAGGGTATCATAAATTCAAAATGATGTCTAAAGGTTACACTTGCTCTTAGTTTTATAAAAGAAATTGCTGCATTCTTTGTATGTGTGTGCGTGCCTATGTGTATACATACTCACGAGCACATAAACTGGAAAAACCATTTTACTTTTCTTTTATGATGTATAAAATATTAGTCATGTAAGTCATGAAGAAATAGAGCTCTTGGAGCACTTTACCTAACTCTGCATAGAATTTACCTTTTTCTTTATTTTCAGGTAACTGTATTAAAATATAACTCTAACTCACGATTCATGTTTCAGCAATTTCCTAGTTAGAATATTTAAACCTTAGAGGTCTATGCCTATGAATGCAATTCAGGAACTTACATTTGCCACTCCAAAGGTAAAAGCACTAAATGCAATACATAAAATGCAAATCCATTTCAGTTATTGTTCTAAATCCGTTCATTATAATGCCTTATAAACAACCCCTATAATGCTTTACAAGCCTGTAAGGGCTCGCTTAGCATCTTAAAAAGGAATATAAACATCCCGGGGCATCACAGATTGTTTAAATATCCGTGCTTCCCGTCTCATTCTGCACACACAGTTATAACTAAACTAAAACACCTGCTTTGATAAATGTATGCTGCCACGAAATAGAGTGTGGCTTATGTGACTTTTGAAAGGGCATTTTGAAAAAGTGAATTTTAAACTATATATTATTACCACCTAGTTTGAAATTTAATATTAAAATTAGAAAATTTCAGAGAAATGAACGTTTAATGTTGACAAAAGACAGAGAGGTAGAGTGATCTGCCCAAGGTCACAAGGATAATTAGCAGCAGAGTCAGAATAAAAACTCAGGGTTTTTTTACTTCATTTCATGCATGTTCACTTCAGTAAACAATGATTTTTCTTTCATACTTTGATGTTGTTTTCTACTCAGAGCCTTTCTACCAAAAAAATAAAAAATAAAAACCCAAAAATGACAAAAAAAAACAAACCCATGAACTAAAATGGATTAGATGGCTGTAAGGTAAAGTCATGTCATTTAAATTGCTTTGCCTATAACTCTATTAAATTACAAATATTTATTTTTATTTAAATTCACATTTCACAAAAAAAAGAAAATGGGTGAAATCTCCAAAGAACTATCTTTACCAAATGGAAATTTAATAATATGGCCCTTATCAAACATCAATATAAAAATTGGTCAGTTTAAGGAAGTCCATTTCTCCCTTTTTTCTAAAGCTGCTATTTCGAGAGAGTATTCAGTGTTACTTCTATAAAGAAATATCAATGAGATAATTTTTATGATTTACAGTTAGAGAAAAGGTTGGGCACATTTATTGCCTCCAATATGAGATAATGAGAACTACATTATTTATTCTACCTCCTTGACTGCCAAGTAACTTAGTGTTAAAATTCTGTATTCAAAGGGGGCCACTACCCTTACCCTAGATTTTTGAGTATAACTATTTCCCCTACTTGTACTCTTATTAACTTGTTTATTGTACCCTTTACTTTTTTTTTAATGTAGGCAAGTAAGTCAGGAATAAAAAAAATTAGAGTAGACGCCTAAAAATAAAAGGCAGTTTATAAAGGGAGTCATTCAAAAAGCTTTTAGGCTTATATACCAACTTAAATTCTCAGGATTACTTTAAAACGACCAACAAATAAATTATGAGTTAAAGCAGAGAAGGACTAAGAAAAGGAAATTACTCAAATTTTCTACTGAAGCACTCAAAAGGGAATTAAGATCAGGGATGTACAACTGTAAAATTATGTATCACGAAAAACTATAGCTATTGCTTACTTTTATAGTACTATACAGGTTACCTAAAGCCACAACAAAATATATGAACAAACTATAAAAGGAAAATAATTTAATCCAATGAGAAATAAAATAAAAACAGAAATTAACATGCAATTACTTACAGCAAGGGAAGATGTTTGCAGACATGCATTTTTAATTCTTGGTATCAAGGCATTTTTCATGGATGGGTAGTCTATAAGATTTGCAAAGGTTGGAATGATGTTTAAACAGAGTTCCTATTAAGAAAATTAATAGAATCAATCTCAGGGACTCACTTTTTCTCTCATATATTAAAAAATATTTTGCATTTGTACAGTTAATTTGCCACATGGTTTAAAAATAAACATTTATGTATGTTACATCATTTGGTCCTTTCAACAACTATTTGAAAGACGTTATTTTCAGTTTTCAATTTTACAGATGAGGAAACAGGCTCAGAAGGCTTACTCAAAATCATACTAGATCATAAAACTAGCGTATGGTGCCCAAACCCTCTAGTCTAATTCTAATATCTTCCTCTGATAACACAACTGTTTATTTATTTTTAAAAACAGGAAACTTCGGAACACCTAAGTTTTGCTGTCTTTCACAAAGAGGAAAAATTAAAAAACAAAGTTATATAAAACTATTTCACTTAAAGTAAGGGATTTCTTAGCTGTTACATATATCCATATGACGGGATATAATAAAAACATTTTTAAAAATATATTTTAAAAGATTGCTTAATAATATTGGGGAGAAAATGCAATAAGACACTGTTATATATTCCCAGTTTTTAAAATGCGTTTGTCATGTGTCTGTCTACAGGCTTAGGAAAAAAAACTGGAAAAATATACCTAGAAATGTTGACTGGGCATCTCTGAGAGAGGACTAATTTTCTTTACATTTTTAAGTATTTCCAAATTCTGAAACTTAAGCAAGTATAACTCATAGAAAGGGGAAAAAGTTACTTAAAACATTCCTGTTAATTAATGCTGTGCCACAGTGTAAATAATTGAAACTGGGAACTCTGAGTGAGAACAGGAAAAAGGATGATGACTGAGGACATGTGGATTAAATGAGATACGGAAAAGAACAAAAACATGGCTGAGAACTGGCTGAAGAACATCTCAGATACCTTATAAAGGTCAGAATGACCTTTGTAGCAAAGCATAGAAAAAGAGATTACTAAAGAAAACAGAAGTATAAATGTATATCAGAGATGATGTTACTGACAATATTTGGTAAACTTAAAGAGACATTCATTTGTAGCTAGCAGATAGAAACGAGTGAGCCACTAAGACTCTTACAGAAATACTGGGAAGCCTTTTATTTAACTTATTCTCAGAATTGTAAAACACAGATATAAGAGAGTTATATATTTATATCCACTAAGAACTATAATAATTAAGTGGGTGGCATCACTGAGGATAAAATATACTTGCTACATTTACAGAACGATTTTGCACAGAGGGGAGAGAATGAACAAGAGCCATCAATGAGATACCGTGCTCCTGTTACCAAAGGATACCTCCCGTTAAGAAAGATCAGTATTTTAATCGATGAGGGAACAGAGAGAGAGAGAGAGAACTATGATGTATAATCTAGCAGTAGGTTAAAAAGAGGCAAATCTTAAATTATGATTAAATCACTTAGCAAAAGGAAGGGAGAGCTCTCTCCATGGGAGAAGGCAGACCGAAGAATCTAAGAACAGGAGATTGAAATTGAGTTTCAGAAGTTACTTTCTAGCCATGCATCTGCATGAAGCTTGAGAAAAAGATTTTTGTTTCTTGCTCTTGCTGTAGGACTCTCCCAAAGCTTAGACACACTTTAACTTTATCAAACACTTACCAAGCAAAGTTGATACTAGTTCAAGGGACTGGTGACTGAACAATTCTATTGAATAATGTCATAAAAGTTGGTTTAACTATTTCAATAAAATACTGGCTGACATCTATTGGCAAAATTAACTCCCTTATAAAGGAAAATGGCCTTTTTATGTGACTTAACCTTTTCTCTCCTTCCTAATATAAAATCTCACCAAATATAAAATCAGGTTGGCCACGCAGGATCTGTGGGAACATTTCAAGAAGCTGTAACTGGCAACTCCTTTGCAAAGGTCTAAAAAAAGAGGTACATCACCCCCAATCATTCCATGTCATTTGGACAAAGGCGACTCATCCTCACCTTTAAAAAGGCACGACCTTATAAAGAAAAAAATTTTAACCTGAACTTCACAACCTTGAATAAACAAAAGAACTTAGTAGACAAAGACTGAAATGAGTCCAAAGAAGTGATCTTATAAATATGGTATTCGGCTCACATTAAAAAAGAAACACTTTGGTCAATAACTTTCAAAAATTAAAATTCTGTTTTTCTTTACTGTAAGTCAACAGAATTTCTGTAGTAGCAACGAATCTATAAATTTCAATATGAAACCATTTCTACAGTGGTATGTTCTTAACATAAGTATTTATTTTCCAATGTAAAGAAAAAATGCAAAAAATTACACTTTTAATAGTAATTCAAATTTTTTTCCAGAGAGATAGCCCTAGAACTAAAATTTTAATAGCAAAGATAAAGAACTAAGTTTGGCAAAGCACATGATATTTTAACATCACTTTTGTGACACAAAAGCATGACTATAAATGAATTAGGAATGTTTACACTCAATTACTATTTGCTTTTCTACTTGCTTTACATATTTCAATACAGAAGGTACATTTCTGAATAGAAGATTACATTACCATACATGAAAGAAAATTATGAGTATGGGAAGAACCTACTTAATTTTCTTGAAGACTATTTATTTTTCGACAGAGTGGAAGGGAGGGAAAAAGAGAGGGAGAGAAACATCAACATGTGGTTGCCTCTCATGCACCCCCCACCGGGGACCTGGCCCACAACCCAGGCATGTGCCCTGACTGGGAATCGAACCTGCGACCCTCTGGTTCGCAGTCCGGTGCTCAATCCACTGAGCCACACCAGCCAGGGCCTACTTAATGTTTTTATAAGAAAAAGGCACATATATAATTAATATTCTAATTCACATGTTAATTATTTAAGGACAAAAGTATATAATAATCTACACTATAATCAATCAAACCTTCCAGAATAGTACACTTCTGATAAATAAAAGCAATTATTTTACTTTGTTAATACAGGTACTTGTCAATTGATTCTTCAAATTAGTTAAAAGATCCCCTCCATCATGTAAGAACACAGCAAGATGCCGGCAGTCTGCAACCCAGAAGAGGGCCTTCACTAAGACCTGGCCATGCTGGGACCCTAATCTTGGACTTCCAGTCTCCAAAACTGTAAGAAATACATTTCTATTGTTGATAACCACCTGGTCTGTGGCATTTTGCTTTAGCAGCCCAGACGAAAGCAACCATGCATACCCTTCTGGAATTAATCATGACCTAGGTCAAGAGACCTGGACTCATCCACTAACACAGCCCCCTCCCTTCTGGTCCTCACCCCCCACCTCTACAGGAAGAGAAAACCACATGACTTCCAAAGGACCCTCCGGTTCCCCCCCACATCCTCTGGATTCAGTGGTTCTACTTTGTGACTGCAAAAAAAAAAAAAAAAAGCTGCAATTTTGGCTGAGGTTGAAAGGTGGATGGGCAGGAAAGGCCCCTCACACTCAGGAGATGCACACCTGTGGGCTGTACCTTTGAAGGGAGCAGGCAGCGAGGGGAGGTTAGTGAGGGGGCCTGGGGCAATCAAGCAATGATGAAGCTATGGGCAGAGACCACTGGGCAGACACAGGAGAAGGAAGTCAAACACCCAGCTGTGAGTGTCACACCCATGAGGACCCAATGTAGTCTCTTAATCTGAGCCTTCATTTCCCCCTTGGTCCATGGCAAGCAAGCAATGTGTCTGCTGCAGTGAGTTTTGAACCCTGAGGAGCTTAAACAGGAAGCCACACTCTGGGTTCTGATATGATGTCACCCTCACAAGGGCAGGGCATGAGGGGAGTCGCTCCCACTCACCTCCCACCCCTGCTGCTCCTGACCCAGCAAGAGCAAAAGGTGCTGATACCTCTAAATCCAATCCCCCGCCCCCCCGCTACTTTCTTCTATCAGACTAAAGAAAGAAATTCAGACAAGACGAGAGCCATTGTGTTAAAATTTTATGTGAAATTCTATAAATGTATTGAGCGGCCAGAGGTCGCCTGCCCACAAGGCCAGGCCTGGCCTGGCCCGGAACCCCCGCTCAGCACTTGGTATAGATGGCCGCACTGCCCTGCTCCTCAAATTCTTCCTTGCTGACCCAGAACTCCTGGAAGGTCTGCAGGGATGCCAGGATGGAGCCACCAGTCCACACGGAGGTCTTTCTCTCGGGTGCAGCAGCCACTGTAGGGCTGTCCCTGGGGCAGAGGAGGCTCAGCTCCCTCTGGAAGCGCTCAGGGAAGCCATCCAGCATGGTGCAGCCGCCACACAGCAGCACATTGGCAGCCATCTCCTCTTTGAAGCCTGCCTCCTGGCAGTGGCCCAGGCAAGTGGCCGTGAGCGCAGGGAGACCGGGCTGGTTGCTGCTCACCAGGCTGGGCTTGAAGAGCATCTCGGCGCACTGGAAGCGCTCATGGCCAATGGTGATGAGCTTGCCGTCGGGGAGCTCGTAGTCTACACGCAGCTCCTCCAGGCACAGGCCGAGTTCCTCCTCGGGCAGGAAGGCCGAGTAGCAGCACGTCTTCTTGATGTGCTCAACAATGTGCAGGTGGTTGTCCGTAAGCTTGTGGCCAGCCTCGTTGAGCAGCTGCAGCAGGTAGTTGGTAAGGTCCCTCCCAGCATAGTTGGCACGGACCGTCAGGCCCGGCAGCACGTTGCCCTCTGAGATGGGGACCACATGCGAGACACCGTGCCCACTCTCCACCACCAGCCCTGTGGTCTTACCATAGGAGTAGATGGACAGCAGCGACTGGGATGTCACATGCATGGCGGGGAAGCCAAAGGTCTCAAACATGAGCTCTGCATACTTCTCCCGGTTGCTGCTGGGGCTGAGCGGGGGGTCGGAGACAAGCACAGCGTACTCCTCAGGGAGGATCTTCATGACTGTGTGGAAGATGTATTCCCAGATGTTCTGGACACAGTCCCAGTCCACCACAACGCCATATTTTAGAGGGTTAACCAGCTTCAGAGGTGCCTCCATGTTGAGCAGCTCGTGGCCCACATAGATCTCCTTGTGGGTGTCACCCACATCAGCTGCCTCAGAGTGGCGCCTGCCCACCGTGGAGGAGATAAAGTAGGTGGGCCTCGTCTCTCCTGCATAGCCACACTTACAGTACTGTGAGCCCAGGTCGATGATGAGTGCCTTGATCTTGCGCACATTCTTGGGCTTCATCTTCAGCTGAGTGGCTGCACCTGTGTCCCAAATGCCAGCATCAAGGGCTGACAGTGTTCCTGCCTCTCGAGGGTCACCCTGAGCTGTGCCCATGGGCATGGGGCTCGGGCTGTTCTTCATTGCCATCTGCCTTCCTTGCTCACCTTTCTCACATCCACATCCTAGAGCTGCATGGAGAGAAATGAGGGTCCACCTCCAGCAGCACCTTGGCAACCACTCAGGATTGTGATGTCATGGGGGATGATCCATTCCAGCAGCCAGGGGAGGATCTGGCCTTGGCAGACCTGTGATCTGCCCCCGCTAACCCCATCCGCTTAATGTGACTTTGTTCAGGACAGAGCAGGTGGCCAGCAGTTTTGAACACTCAAGCACACTGGGGTCTCAGAGTTTTCTGCCTCTGATCCCTTGCATCCCTGCTCCTAATCCCCTGTTCACTAAAAAGATACCTTTTCCTCCTCTGCTTCTTGGCTACAAGATTGATATATATTTGAGCCCTTACAGTAAGCCAGGCACTGTACCAGAAACCTCATGTTACTTAACAGAATCCCATGGGTAGGCAGAACTGAGGAAATGGAGGCTCATAATTCCAATGACTTGCCCATAAGCAGACAGTTCTTGGAATGTTTGTAGTTTAACCCAAATTCATCGAACTCCAATGCACCAGGTCTCCTTAAAGAGGGTGAGGGCCCCAAAGTACTTTCATTCCTTTAACATGTACTGGAGTTTGTGGTGGGCCCAGCCAAGTACAGCCTACCGGTAACAGACAGAAACTCAGTCACAAGCAATGCCCAGTCTCGGTGGGAAGAAGATGGAATGGATGCAGAGAAGTTTACCAGTGAAAATCTATTGGGACAACAGAGGTACACAAAAAAGGGAGCACTCACTGGAGAGAGGGAGTCAGAAGGTTCCGTAGAGAGATCATGCTTGAGTTCTGAAAGATATGTGGGTATTTGTCAGGCAGGTAAGAGGAGGGAAAAGCATCCCCAGCAGAAAGCACAGGCTGAGCAAAGGCTCAGACGGGGGCAGAGTGGGGAACTGCCTGTAGTTAAAAGTGTTTGGAAAAATGGATGAAACTAGAGGTGTCATGGAGCCAACCATGCAGGGCCTCAAAAGCTAGGAGTAAGAGCTTGGATTGAATGGAGGGCAGTTGGAAAACCAATAAAGACTCTAAGCAGAGGCGTGGTCAGTTTTGACTTCTAAAATGATTTTTGGAAAGATCTGTGTTTAGCTGTAATATAAAGGGGCAAAACCCTGAGACCTAAAAGGAGAACTGACGAAATTGTTCTAAGATATGAAGACGGCCTAAACTAGGGCTGTGACAGTGTGGAAGAGGGCAAGGGACAGGTTCTGGAAAGTTTTGAAGGCTGTCTCCCAACTGTCCTCAGTTCAATCTGGGCTCTTGCTCTGGCATTCGAGGCCTTCTCTGGCAGGCCCCGTGCCGTCTCTAGCCTCAAGCGTTGTAGTTACATTAGATGATTAGAGTAAATGTGGAGAGACATCAACCTCTTTCCTCTGCCCAAAGAAAGATGGTCTGTCATCAGAATGGACAAATTTGTTAGATTCCCAGAGGGCTCTCCATCCAAAACTGCCCCGGACACCCCAAAAAACAAACATATTAAGGTTTTGGTGATAAAGAAATAAGAGAAAAAAGAGAAGAGAAACAACTGGGGTTAAGAAGTTTTCAGAGAGAATTAAAAGCAGAAGTAGCTGAGGGATTAGGTGACATGGATAGGAAAGAAAAGGGAGACTTTAAGACATAATTACTACTGCTATCAAGCATGTTAATGAAGAACTTACAGGAACTTTTGTTTGCTGAACTGTTTCTTGGAACATGACACTTTGAAAGTGGATTATGTGGGGAACAACTTCATAAGGATTGAAATTAAGAGCATCACCCAAGCTCCATTGCTGGTATCACAAACCACAGAACCTGAGGACTGGACACTTGATTCAGCATGAACAGCTATGAGTCATAAAGTCTTCCTCACATTGGATTTACATATGTACCTCTCTGAAGAAGCCATTAACTGGTCTTGGGTCTACTTTTGAGATTATACAGGGGAAGCTAATTCTTCCATGTGACAACCCTTATGCTATTTAAAAGTACTGTTTATGGAAAAAAGTTAAGACTGGGTACATTTTAGTAACAGTGTATAATGCAATTCAATGGATTAATATACACTACTGAGTTTTCTACAAAAGATTTTATGACTCAAACCCAAATGTACTTTACTTCATTCTTCTGCATTAAGAATCAAAATAATCATTAAAGAAGAAAAAGTCAAATATTATACCTGGATCTGAATGGAAGGAGCCTCTAGTGCTCTGTAAACCATTGGTAGGACACTGTTCTTTATCTCATCAGGAGGAGTTTTGGTTAGTAGCAAATCCATTTTTTGTAAGAAAATTAACAAAATCTGTGTAGAAAAAGGGAACAATGTATTAAAGTCCAGAATGTTTACGTGGTTTTTATGTATGCCAAAATTTAAAGTATCTTCTAAAGAATAAGTTATGTATTTTGACACTCACCATGTTGCTAGCCTGAGGGCATGGAAGACAAAAACATACAAATCAAGTCTCTTACATTTCTGGAAGCAAAATATTTAATAACTGCTCTCAGTTTAGACATTTAAGTAGAGACCAATTTCCTAACTCTCACACATCTTCATTAAGATCTCACTCACCCACAAGTACCAGCTACCTGGAAAGCAACTGGGTAAGAAAACAAAAGTCTGAGGGCAGCAAAATCACAAGGCCTGGAGAAGTAAATTCTACCACTCGGCTTCTGTGAAGCTCAAGAGAAGAAGAGGTAAAAGAGAAGAATAAAAATGACTGTCAGGAAAAATTCTAGAACTAAACATTACAATTAATTTTTCTACCTAGCTGCCACCACGTACCTAAATTATAAGGAACAAACTGCCCCTTCTGTTGTTGAAGAACACTTAGTCTTGCCAAAGCTCAGTTAGTATTTTTCAGAAGGAGTTTTTAGCTGGACTACTAAGGGAAAAAAAGAGTCCCAAAGAATGGAGGCAAATAAGAATTCGAATAGTAGCTCCTTAGGATACCATCTTTACTGACACACAGCGTAGTGAACATGTGGCTCCACTACTTTCTCTCCTGACATCTTAACAGTGTTTCTTTAATTCTGCTTCAAAGCCTGCCATTCCCTCACCGGCCCTTTCTGTGAGTTCCTAGGAGTTCCTAGAAACGGCTAGCCGTGAACTCCTTCCTACCACAGACTTCCTTCTGTTCCCCTCCTTTCAAGGGAAGGACGGCAAACAGCTTGCCACAAAACCAGAAAATCAGGTAGCTAATAGTTTACTAATAAGCTATTGTCATGTAGTGGCAGAAGCATGTAATAATACTATGTGCCAGAAAATTTCATTTACTCTCAACAACCTCTTTCATTTTGGAAATGAGTAAAACCAAGGCTTTAAGAGAGTAATGACTTGCTCAAGTAAGGACATAAAGGACAGTTCCAACCCAGGTATATGACTACTGCTCTTAAATCCAAGACTACCCTAAATCTGGCAAATAAATATTGTAAGAGACTCTACATCAGAGACTATGTTTTTCACTAACAATACACACATGTTACTTTTGGGTACTGTAAGCATTTTCCCTTTTCTGATGAAACTATTCATTAACAATAAAATAAAGAAAAAATACTGGCATAAACCATATTTAAATCAAAGATCCTGAATAACAAAACAAAAAGCAAAAAAAAAACAAAAATACTCAGATGTATAGGAGAAATATAAACACTTCTTTTTCGAAACCTGTAACTAAGGTAAGGCCAATGGGAACAGTATAACACATGCAAAATCTCATTACAATTTTCTGAGATTGCAACTTATGAAGAGCTGCAGACATTAACTTGGAAAGCTCAATTATAATTTTAGGAATGGTTCACTTCAAACATGCAAACAGAAGACTAATGGAAAAGAAAAGTTTCTTATACTTACCTCAATTTTTAAAATGTCAGATATCCATTCCTTTAGTTTTCGATGATCGTCATCATTGATTAACACCACTGAAGACAGCAGATAAATAGGAAAAATACCCATATACATACCTGTATTGGCTCTTGCTGTTTAAAGACAGGGCCAAGTTCAGGTAGAATTAATTTGACATATTCTTCTTTGGTGCATTCTTCAGCAATCAGTAGAACATTGGGCAAAACAAACGGTACCATGTCAGGATTTACAAATTCTGAAGTCAAACAGGGCAGAATTCTCTGCACAATGACACGCTGAAAGGCAAAAATGTTTTCATAAAAATAATTTATTTCAGGTCTTCAGTAGTAACATAGAAATTAGTTTAAAATTTCCAATCCCTTTGGATAAGGTGACGATATAATTTATGGTTGAAAGTGTGAACACTTTTAAGAGTGAAATGGGATGCTATTGCTAATCATGCCAGGACAAACGCATCACTTGGAAATGTCACAGATAAAACGGGACATATAATCACCCTTCCTTTACAAAACCTTCCCTAATCAGTCTTCACAAATGTTTTTCCTCTTAATTCTTTCATAACTTATGATTCATACCACGCTATTTAAACACTGTCCTGTATTTTTCATTGCTGTTTCATGCACAATAACTCTATTTACACTTACTGTAAGGGCCTTGAAGCAAGAACAATTTTTGTTTCCTCTTTATTCTCCATAGCATCTAAGTAAAGGGCTGAACAAGCAGTAATCAATGAATATCTGATAGATTAAACACTGGAAATAATTTTGTAACCAAAAATTATTAGTTTTCCAACCAGTGGTTTCTTTAGCATTCACAGTGTTTAAACTATATTATTCTCATGGCTTAATAAGTGAGAGAGGGGGTGTTAGAGGACCTGGAGAGGCTAATATCAATATAAAAGTACCCCTTAAATGCTGGTGAGACAGTGAACTCCACAATGACAACTATGGGCTTCTCTTCTGACATTTTACCATTCTAATTTTTTAATGCTATTTAATTATTTTTGAACAATGCAGAAGAAAAGGTCCACTGCCCTGCCTGGGTGGCTCAGTTGGTTGGATAGTCATCCCATACACCAAAAATCTGAGGGTCTGATTCCCAGTCAGGGCCAATACCTAGGTTGTGGGTTCAATCCCCAGTCAGGGTACATATAGGAGGCAACCAATCCATGTTTCTCTCCCACATCAATGTCTCTCTCTCTCTCTCTCTCTCTTTCTCCCTTCCTCTCTCTCTAAAATCAATAAAACGTATCCTCAGGCGAGGATTAAAAAGAAAAAAAGAACGTCCACTAAACTTTGGGCTTCAGCTTTCAGTCTTTTATAGTTGTTAAATTACACTTACTTCTTTGAAAAAGTTATTATAGCAAGTCAAAGTAAACTTTAAATTCTAAAGTCCTGACTATAATAAGAAAGTGATCAATAACAAACCTTGGGCAGTTTTGGTAGAACCTTTGGCAATCCTTTAAAAAACTGTGATTTCTGAAGATTATCTCTTTGGAATAAGGTATCAAAATACTGCAGTGTTACTGCACCAACATCATCAAAGAAGGGAATCTAAAAACGGGAAAACAATATTATTTTAATAAATATTAAAATACAAAACAAAATACAAATACAAAAAAATATTCAGCATTTAAAATAATAAAGATCATTTCTTCAAAATTCTAATTATAAGAATCAGAATAAAAAAACCAATAAATTATTTTTCTTTCCAAGTTCAAATTTTCAGAATCAGTACCTCTGAGTTGGCAGGAGTAGTATTTTCTTTACATAACTAATAAAATATTAAAAGATAAAGTAAAATATCTTAAAAGTATAAAGAATATAATTTCTCTATTAAAATCCATGCTTATATGAGTGAGTTAGAGGGCTATGAATTCCTGCAGTGTCCAAAGTTTCTGCACATCTAATTGTGACTTTTAGGACGCTTGTTTATTTGAAATCTTAATTTTGTATCAGAGTAATTATATACATAAATTATTTAAATGTTTAAGAATAAAAGAAGCCAAGTGTTTAATACATTCAAGAATAGAGGTATTATCTGGGGATTACAACTAAATCTTGTTTTAGAAGCAGTTAATCTAACCGACTTTTTTGTTCCTCCATCAAAGACAGGAATTCATGTTACCAACTCACCTTTGTCATTTGATCTGCATCTGGTCTCACAGTTGGAGTTACATTTAACAGTAGTTTTACATGTTCACGGACTTCCTCTGGTATATTTGTAAGTGAACTAGATCCTAAACGACTCAACTATTCAAAAGAGTAATAATATTAAATATGAGTATAAAATATTCAGATATACATTTATATTGTCAAGTCCACTTAAGAAATTTACAATGTACTCAGAAATATATTTTTAGATTAAAACAAATGGCTAATTCTACTACTGTACAATAATTGAAACACCTATCTTTTATTACCTGAAATTGCCTCTTTTCCTAAAACAAAATGTCCAGTATTTCTGAACATATTTCAATATTCAGTCTAGTAAATACATGTCATGATTACAATTGTAGAAACAAACTTTAATCCTCATTAGTTACAGAATTACTTTTTTAAAGATGATTTTATGCAAACTTAAAATATAAAACACTCATTTCATAGAATTTTCTGAATACATTTTAGAAAAAAATAGTCAAAGAAGCACTTAATACATTTTTAATGCAAATAAATACTTAAAGGTAAATACCTGATCCAACTGCCTACTGAAACTCTTGTAAATATCTTGCTTGTTAACCTCAAATACAGGTTTCCCTTTGTTAAATACAGCATAAATGACAGTTCCTAAAGAGTACATATCACTGGCTGTTTCACAGCTCACAGAAAGTATGTATTCAGGAGCCAAATATTCAGGATTTGGAAGACACAATGATGGCAAATTTGGGTCCCATTCTTTACAAGGAAACTTGGGCTATAAGACAAAAAAAAAAGACTTTACAATTCAAATATTTCAAGTTAAAGCAGGCCTCTATCAAGCAGCAACAATCTAGCTTTAAATTCATACCAGTCATGCAAGTAAAAACTGTCATCCCCTCCTAAAATTCCCAAATTCCCAAATCTAGAAGGTACATAGAACAAATTAAGAGATAACAAATGCAACTCTTTAACTTTGGAGATAGGGGACCTCTCTTCCAGGAGACAATCATCATATATCATACAGTATGAATATGGAAAGGTCTGGCCTGTTTTATGACACAAGAGGCTTCAAGTTTTATGGGCTCAAATAGATTATTGTTTGAAACCTTGTTCTTTCACTAATTAGCTATGTCATTTAGTTAACAGGTTCAAAAGGTTGCTGTAAGATTAAACAAATGTAGGAAAATCAGACCTAGGACAGTGCTTCACCCACAGTATATAATCAATACAAATTCCTTCTGTTTCCCTTAAAAATGTTTACTTAAATTACAAATCTATTTCAGGATAAATCAAGGTCCCTTTAACAACTACATACAGTAAGGACTTAAAACATTGCAGCATCTCCCAAGGATAAATAGGCAAGTGTCATAAACACTAAGTAACAGGAGTTTTGGAACCAGAAAGACTGGATTCAAATCCTACCTCTGCCATATACCACCTGCCGAACCTTATTCTATGAACCTAACTCCCTTGTCTGTATTTTTCTTAATACCTCACTGAATTGTTTTGAGAATCAAGTAAGTAGATACAAAAAAAAGTGCTTTAGTAAATGTTATCATTGTTGTTGTTCTTATCATGCTCCCTAAAGAAGATTCTGTGGTCTAGTATGTTGGGGAAATACTGCTGGCGGTTCACAATGTTTGTTAGTGTATTTGACATTCTAAGGGGAAAAAACCTTAACCCAAGAGTTCTCAAATCTATTTGACTCTAACATCTTTTTCTCAAGTAACATTAACTAGTGTGGAATTAATGAGCTCAAGAGCACTCTTAGATACAATAAACTCTAAAAATTTTCTATACATTTAAACATACCATTGTACCACACAGCCTATTTCTACACATTTATCAGGCTTATAAATTTTCTAGTCCATTCCCAATGCAATCACAAATTTTCATAGCTTTTAAAAAATTAGAAGACTAAAACCTTCATTACCTCTTGTTCAGAAGGATTGGTAGATGATACACAAAAATCAAAACCCATTATTTTCCAGGCTCCACTTTTATTCAAAATTATATTTTCAGGTGTAATATTTCCATGAACCATTTTCACACTGCTGTGTAAAAATGACAACCCTTCAGAAACCTGTAAATGGAAAATAACCAGACATTTTTACATTACATAAAACTCCTTTCAATTACAATAATGAAATGTCTCATAATTCATAATTGCTCCTTCTCCCAGCAAAATACTTTTTACATGTCAGGTAACAAATTTTATCATAAATGCAAAAGTGTAGATTTTCTCAGTTGCCAGGATAAATGAGGCAAAAGCAAGGAAAACAAAGTTATAAAACCAGAATAAAACTACTTATCAAGTTCTTTTCTATATGCATATAAGTAAAAGAAAAGATAATACAAAAGCACTTTGCTATCAAAATTTTCTCATTTCCGGATTTGGAAAAGAAGAAATCCTTGATTCCTGATTTACAGATGGTAAATATGCAGAGATACCTCTGTCAATTTGATTCTAATTCTTAGTATTTGTATGTACTTACACTTCATATTGAAATTCAGTTTTTCTGAGTAACACTGTGCTCAGTTTTCAAATATTAACTAATGTTCTCCCATTCTCACATTGGATTAGTATTTGTGCCTATGATTACCATGGAATTTGTTAACCAAAAATTGAAGACTGACTGAATTTTGTTTCCAAAAACAAAATTTTGGCAAACTAGTGCTGACTTTCAACTCCCTTGGTGACTGCTTTTAGGTTTATTTTACTGGTCCCCCCCTTATCATCCCCCAACCTCCTGGACTCAGTGTTTCAACCTTTCAATATTCCATATACTCTGTCTCAGTGTTCTCACAGCTTTGAATACCATCTATAAGGTGATTACTCTCAAATACTCTCAAATCACGCTAAAGTCCAGACTTGATTATCTGACTGCCTTCTTTACTTCTCTCTTGTTGAATTGTTTAAGCATCTCAATCTTGGAACAATCCAAAACTGAGCGTCCCTACAAGTCAAATCTTTCCTCTTGCACTCTGTCCCATAACAGTTAATGGCCACCTCATTTTCCCAGTTGTTTGGGACAAAAACCTTTGAGTTATATTCCACTACACTTTTTTTTATATAGCAACTCTATCTGTAAATCTCAATAACTTCATCATCAAAATATACGTACTTAGAATTTGATTGTCTCTTACCACCTTCCCTACCCTGAAACATCATCTCTGGACTGCATTACTGTAGCGGCCAACCTATCTCATCTTTGCTTCTGCTATTACTTTACTACAGCAATTCTCAGCCAGTGTGCTGCAAGAATTTTTAAAATATGCAATACCTGACTATTTAGTAAAGAGCACTGACCTCTTTCCCCTTAGATGGTCAAATTAAAAAATAACAACAGCCAACACAATAGCTATCCAGTGTGAATGAATCAGCAAAATTTTTGGTGTACCACAGACTTTTTCTTAGTTTATGTGTGCCATGCGATGAAAAGGTTGCAAATCACTAATCTATTACCTAGTTTAATTCTCAATACAGCAACTAGAGTAATTCTATTAAAACACAGCCTAGACCACATCACTTTCAGACTCAAACCTCCCAAAGACTTTTCCTCTTTCTCAGTGAAGTCCAAAGTATTTCTCTGGCTTTCAGGGCCTAGGAAGACCTAACCACTCTTTAACTCTCTGCCTTATCTCCTGTTAATCATCTTCTTGTTCGCTCTGCACCACTCCAGGTATTTCACTGTTCCTAGAACACATCCTGCAGATTCTGTCTCAGGAACTTTGCCCTTGGCTGTTCTCTCTGCCTAGATCATTCTTTCCCCTGGTATCTATATGGTTTGCCTCTTTGCTTTATTTCAGGTCTTTACTCAAATATCCCACTTGCAGTGATAGAATGCCAGACTGCTCCATTCAAAAGTGCAACTCCCTTTTCCGTTCCATCCAAATTATCCCTTCTTCCCCCTTCATTCTTTTGTTCTCCACAAGTACTTATCATTATAATCTAATGTGCTATACGTTATTGTCTTTCTTCCCCCATGAGAGTGTAAATTCCAAAAGGCAGGAATTTACCATACTTTCAGCACCCAAAACTATGCCAGACATATAGGCGGCCAGAAAATATTTGCTTAATAAACAAAAATGAGAATGAATTCTCTAAAAACTCCCTTACAGCTTTCAACATGAAGGCAAGCCAACAGTTAAGAGTGTAGAGTACTACTTTAAAAGATATCTGGATTCCTGTCCTCACTTCATCACTTACTAGTCCTGCAACTTTGAGCAAGTCACTGAACCTCTGCACGTCCCAGCTGGTGAATTATTTCAAATGATGGAATATCAGCTTCTTAATAAATGCAGGAAATCATGTTAGACTCCATACCACTCCCAACTCCCATCGCCAGAGTAAGTCATCAGGGCCTATTCTATCTCTTCATAACTTCACTCTGTACCTCTAGGCCTTCCTATAATGCTTGACCAAGACTTTCTTTTTCTTAACTATCATTATTTTTTGCATGCAAGCACTATGCTAAGCACTTATAAATTTGCATATTTGATTCTGAAAAATAACCCTGTATAGCAGGGATGATTTCCCTTATGCTTTCCCCACCCCAAAATTCTACTCTTCTAGAATGGCATCTCTAAAATGTACATTAGACCAAGTCATTTACCTGCTTAAAATCCGTCAGTGTTCCCCATCACCAATATGACCCTTTTCTATGTTTTCAGTTTAATTTTTCACCACTCCCCAAAATACAATCTGCTACTTCTAACTGCCTGAATATTCACCCTAAGTGACTAGTATGATAAGTAATTAGGAGCTTAATATTTTTCAAATGAATGTTCTCCAGCTCTAACACATTTGAATCCATGAATTTCATGTAAGATTTAATTTTTAAAAACACATATCCCTCAAATATAATTTATAAAACATGTTAAGGTTTTCTAGCCTAGAAAACTTTTCCTAAATTTTTAAGGGGGAAAAAAAACCTCACTGTACACTTATTGTATATTTCGGGCACTAATTTGATAGGTGCTTTTACATAATTATCTCAGTTACTATTCACAACCACTTTGTGGTTCTAGGAAAAAAGTTCAGATGTTTACTACAAAGCTGCAGTGTGGTACTGGCATAAAGACAGATATTTAGATCAATAGGACAGAACAGGAAATTCAGAAATAAACTCTTGTACATATGGTCAAATGATTTTCAACAGAAGTGCCAAGGCCATTCAATAGGGAAAGGACAGAAATTTCAACAAAAGGTGCTGGGAAAATGAAATATCCACATGTAAAAGCATGAAGTTACATGTTAAAACATACAGAGGGGGGCAAAAGTAGGTTTACAGTTGTGAGTATGTGAAACACAGAGGCCCTGTATTATTATTTATTATTGTATTATTTTTCCATATGAAAACTGTAAATCTACTTCCCCCCCCCACCCTGTACATAAAAATTAACTCAAAACAGATAAAAGACCTAAACGTAAGCCCGAACACTGTGAAACTCTTAGAAGAAAACACAGGAGAAAGTTTCATGACACTGGATTTGGCATTGATTTCTTAGATATGACACCAAATGCAAAGACGACAACAACAAATATATAAAAATAAAATAATTCTGTGCATGAAAAGGATAAAATCAACAAAATGGAAGAAAATATTTACAAATCATGTATCTGACAATAGGTTAATATCAATAACATAAAGGACTCCTACGACTCAACAACAAAAAGACAAATGCCTGATTTAAAAATGGGCAGAAAACCTGAATAGACATTTCACCAAAGAGCTTATACAAATAGCCAATAAGTACACGAAAAGATGTTCAAATTCATTAACCATTAAGGAAATGCAAATCAAAACCACCATGAGATATCATCTCATTCCCATTAGGATGACTACTATCAAAAACTAGAAAATAACAAATGGAGAAATTAGAACCCTTGTGCATTATTGATAGGACTGTAAAATGGTGCAGCTGCTATGGAACACAGTATGCTGGCTTCTCAAAAAGAAAAAAAAATGGATGAATAAATACTACAACATGATGAACCTCGAGGACATTATGCTAAATGAAATAAACCAGTCACAAAAGGAAAAATACTGTATGAGTCCACTTATATAAAGTACCTAAAGTAGATTGATAGAGACACAAAGTGGAACGGTGATTGACAGGGGCAGAGGCAGGGTGGACAGGGGAGTGTGGGAGTAAACTGATCAGTGACCACAGCTTGTTCTGCAAGATAAAAGAGGCCTGGAGACGGATGGTGGTGATGGCTGCCAACAATGTGAACGGACTTTATGCCACTGAACTGCATGCTTAAAAATGGTTAAGATAGTAAAATTTATGTTATGTGCATTTTACCACATTAAAAACTATATACTGTTAAGAGAATGAGATGAGCCACAAACTGGATAAAACACGTATAAATCAAAGGACTTGTAACCACAAAAGAACTCTCAGAACTCAATAATAGAAAACAACCCATTCAAAAAATTGGCAAAAGATTTTAACAGACTTTCACCAGAAAAGATATTCAGATGCCAAAAAAACATACGAGAAGGTGTTCGACATCATTATTCATCAGAGAAATGCAAATTAAAACTACAACGAAATACCACCGCACACCTACGAGAATGGCTAAAATTAAAAGAAGCAACCATAATACCTTTTGGCAGAAATCTGAAAAAAATGAACTCTCAAGCACTGCAAAGGGCATAAAAAATGGTACCACCACTTTGGAAGACATTGTCAGTTTCTTAAAAAATGAAATACATGTATACACACCATTTGATCTAGCCATTCCAATCCTACGTATTTAACCAAAAGAAATGAGCATATGTCCCTATAAAAACTTACACATGAATGTTCACAGCAATTCTATTTGCAACAGTCAAAAACTGTAAACAAGCCAAATGACCATCAACAGGTAAATGCATAAACAAATCATGCTATGTCCTTACAATGGACTACTACTCACCAATAAAAAAGTATTAATACATACAGCAATATGGATGAATCTCAAAACAATTGGCCAGACCAAAAAAGAGAGTACATGTTTTATAATACCATCTATAAAATTCTCCAAAATACAAACCAATTCATAGTGACAGAAAGCAGTTCAGTGAGAGATAGAAAGATAAGAAAGAGCAGGGGCAAGGGATTATAAGGGGTATGAGGAAACTTGGCACAGGGGTGGCGTCATGGATATATGCATCATTATTTTGATTGTGGTGATGGCTTATAAACTTATAAAACAGTATATTTCAAATATGTGAATTTTTTATGCCAATTAATAATACCTTCATAAAGCTATTGAAAATAATAAATAGAATTATCTCTGTCCCCAAGGAACTAAGCTTAAATTTTCTCTATAGAGCTGAAGATATTTTGCTAAGCAGGAAAAGGAAAAATTTTTAAATGTGGACATATATGAAATGACTAACTGTATCTCCTGATGGCTATTAAATAATTTCTTTAAAGATAATTTATTTTTATTAGCTACCTTATTATTTCAACATAATATTTATGAAATACATTCACAAGGTTTAAAACTCAAAAATATCATAAGGGAACCACCCCATATATCAATTAATAACTGCCCTTCTCCAAAAGTTACCAATGTTATCTTTCAAACAATTAAAATATAATTTAAGCGTAGAAAGAAACTATAGAATATTCTGGCACAAAGAAATAATTTTTAAATTACTGAAAAGATAAAAATGTTTACATAAAGTAGCTTATATGGCTAATAAGTTTGAAATAGCCAAAAACAATTTTGAAGAAAAAAATTCCACATGATAAAAAAAATACATACCTGAAGCAAACCATATTTGGTTTCTACATCATAAAGTTTATAATCCTTAATGTCTGGAGACACAGGAGAAGGCAGATTTTCCCAGTTACCTAGGACATTAGCTAAACTGGCAAAAACTGGTTCTGCACAAAATGCCAAGCAATCCCTGTTTTAAAAAAGAAAAACATTATTCACTATCATTTTTTCCACATTATCAAAATGAAATATACATAAAAAATTAGTGGTCCTACTAAACTATCAACAAGAACACAAACTATTTTAGATTCATTTTCAGCATGAATATAACAACTTAAACCAACAGAACAAAGTCAGGTAGCAGTATATATGAATTATACTGGATAAATCATTCAACAGTCTTTTAAACTAAGTGTTATAACAGTTGTCATACTTTTTTTAAAACTTAAAGTCAGGAAATAAAACATTATTTCAACTGTGCTTTTTGAATGACTCTCAAAGAATGACACTCTCTAAGGAAAACCAATCAACTAAAACATTGTTACATTGTACCTATGATATTATCCTTGTTTCTAAGGCTATAATTTTCAGAATATGCTCCAAGGAATTTACAGATTTTTCCCACAGATGCCTCTGGGTAAGAGAAGTCAGAAAGAGGGACGGGGGTCCAGGTCCCCATAGCCAGTTCAATCAGAGCATCTTTGCCTTTATCTACTTTATATATCGCTTTGAAAGGTGTCAGAATTTTTATATCTTTAAAACTACTGCTCTCTGATGTGTAAGAGTATTTAGAAGTAAAATGTTAGATATCAACATTCGATAGCTTTATAATGATCAAGAACTCAGACTTTGAAGACAAATACCCAATGTCAAGTGCCAGTATCCCTATTCCTTCACAAAATGACTCTTGACACTGTGGGTCTAAGCCTCACTTTGCCCATCTGCAGAACGGTGATAAAAGACCACCACAAGGGTTACTGTGAAGATCAAATGAGATAATGCATGTAAAGTACATAGAGCAGTGACTAGCATGTAAACTCAACAAATGTGTACTATTGCTATTACAATTATCAAGCCTTTGAGACTCAAGTCCTAATCATTTTATGTCTTGGGTTTAGGCTCTGGCACTACAAGGAACCTATAAGGAACTGTAGTAAAAAAAGTTGTACCAAGCCATGTGTGGAGAGTAACTCTTTAAAGGCAAGTAAAGGCAGTAAAGCCCTTTGCCGTTTCATTTGTCCACAATTACCTGAGTGACTTTCTTTGCCCTTGAATCCAGAAAGCATATGCAAAAGCTTGATATATATATGAGGGCTAAAGACAGAACTGCCTCGGTTGAGGGAGTGAGTCACACAGTCCTGTCTGCTTGGTCATCATCAAGGATGCTACCTTGTTCTTAACTCCTACACCAAGCTCATTAACACAGCAGACACACAGCTGTCATTTGCTGAGCTGTACCAGAGGAAAACTGCACACATACTCTCAAGTCTTTTCTACAGTTTCCTAAGATTCCCAGTACTCATTTATTTTAGCAACTCTTATGTTTTTCCTCTTTTGACCCCCCAAATCACCCTTGGTCACATCAACATCTGTAGGATTATTCTTCAAGCTCAGGAGGCCTTATTTTCATGAGCCTTCATGTCCACTATCATTAAAGTCACATACCAGAAGGGCTCTGTCCTCTCTCAAGGACTGCCTCCCCCAACCACAGCTACTTACTAATTATTTGATCTCCTATTTTTTTACTGCCTCCACTAAATCTAGCTTCCCAGTATTTTTATTCAACAAATTCTAAGTATTTTTCCTGAGTACATTTGATTCCTTTCTCTTCTCCAACAACCTCAATAGTAACTGTCACCCTTACTACCTTTTACTGAGCAAACCTTCATTAACCCTATAGCAATCATCATGGGTTTTACTTTCTTGCTTATGTCATAAACTAAGGGAAAAAATGGAAAACCGAGTCTTTATAAACTCATAGTGTGAAGTCACTTAGTACATTTTAACCTTGTTCTTTTTATTTTTCAAGATTCAAGACTACTCCTTCACTACCTTTTCCTTAACTCCACATTCCGTGGCCCTCTTTAGCCACTATTAACCTATTATCCATTTTCTACTTAAAAAAAAAGAAAAAAAAAATCTAAAGTCCATCTAACATGAATGGTTTCATTTCCCCTAACTTCAACCTCAGTATCACAATTATCCTCCTAAAAGTTTCTACAAGTTCCTATGGGACTTTATTCACATATCTTGTATGCTGGGCTCCTTTATACTCATTTTCTAGCTTCCAAATTGCCCTCTTAATAAAATTACTGAACATCAATAACATCCTCTCACTAGTCAAATAGAGTAATGGAGTCTTCTCAGTCCTTACTTCCTTTTTATTTGATGGTCCCAATATCAGTGAGTCCTTTCTTCCCTCCTTTGCATTCCATGACAAACTGCCAATTTTTCTCCAGCTACATGACAATGATCCCTCCAGCTTCCTTCCCTGGCTCTTCTTTCCCCTCTGAATTCAAGTTCTGCACTCTGTGCTCTGATCTTTATATTCACATTCTTGAAAAATTCATTTTTTTCATGGTTTTAATTAGTGCCCTAATGCTACCCAGCCCCATACACACCACCGCCTCTGGGCTTTGATCCGGATCTATTTTCCCATAGCATATTTCTTTTGGATAATTCCAGTTTCATCTCCACATTCCTAATTCATTAAAAACTGAAAATTATTTTTTTCCTTCCCTAAAGGGTTCCTATTTCTATGAATGTTAATGCAATTCTTACAACTTAACAATAAAGATGTGTTAAAAAATAATCTTAGAATTGCCTTCCTTTGTAATTGTCAATAAATCCCTAGTCTGTAATATTTAAATCACTACACTAGAAGCTGCAGGGACAGAGAAAAACATAAAACATGCGTCCTTCCCCCCTCAAAAGACTTAAAATATAATGGTAAAATATATGTTAATACAAGTTAAAACAACAAAGCATTCTGATGAGTTGACACAACAGTCAGTTTTTAAGTATTTTTCAGGCAGTATACTGTATAGACAGATTTCATATATGAAGTTATTTTCAACTATTTGTTTAGGAAGTCCCTTATATAAGTTTTTATAAAAATTTACCTGGATTCTTCTAAAGGATGCTGGACAGTAAGAAGTCGAGGGTGTCGTAGTCGAGTTAATTGTTGGACTCCTCGTTTTAGAGAATCAATGATTTGATCCTTTTCAAATTTTTGATATTTGTCAATCAGCTTTTTATCAAAGACAAAAACCGCCACTTCCTAATAGAAAATTGTGTAAATAATTTTAATCAAGAATATATACAAGTAATAACATTTTATTTGTGTCATAATAGTCGACAAAATCTAAAAACGATTATCATAAAAATTTTAGTACCATTTTAATACTTTTCTGATATCTAAAAGTTGGTTTCTCCATGATCAGTAAACCTCAACATTTTCAAAAGTATGAAACCCAGAGCCCTCATTTAGGGAGAACACAGGAAAATCTCTGTATCTGCACTCTGGTACCAGAGGTACACATAAACCCTATTTGGTAATTTCTTCTATAACCAGAATTCAAATAAAAGTTTGAATGTTTAAAATTTCAAAATACCATTCATAATGATAACCCTGGAGTATACTACAAAATTTTGAAATGCTTCTTAAAAAATAAAAGTATGTACATGTCAGGAAGTGATTGTTTATATTCAGACCAACTTATAAGCATCTTTTGCATACGAATAATGTGTGATTTCCCTCTCCCCTTCCTCCCTATCCCCATCTTGTTATGGGTAGTAATGGGAATGGTTACCAATACAGGAAGATGTTTCCCTCATTGCCTCTCCTTGAGGTCATTCATAGCTTATTTTATATTACTAAAATCACACATTTTCCTTGATTGTCATCTACTTTCATTCTCTCTGTTACACAAGGAAAAATAGTTCCCATTCAGTTACCCAATCTTAACAAATCAGTCAAAATATAGCCCTATTGGTAGTGGATGTATTACCAATGCTAGAACTCCATCATAAATGGAAAGAAATCTGATAAAGCTGGAAGCAAAATCAGCAAGGATCAATCTAGCCCTCCAAAATTCTTTGAAAGATATTCTTCCCTTTTTTATTAAATTTATTGGGGTGATACTCATTAACAAAATTATACAGGTTTCTTGCAAAATTGTGAAAAATTACATAGAATTTTGCACAATTCTACAACACATCATCTGTACACTGAACTGTGTTCACCACCCCAAGTCAAGTCTCCATCTACCACCATTTGTTCCCCCTTCACCCTCTTCTACCATCCCACTGACCTCCCTACCCCACGAAAGATTTTTAATGGCTCTTTGAGAATTTCTATAAAAGTCTCTTTCGAAAACTCCTAATTAAAATCTCCTACTAAACTATCAACATCCAAGACCGTATCTTTTCTTTTTATTGCTGCTTTTTTCTAATTATTCTTTGCCACATTATGATTATTGTTTTTGCAACTTAGCCTAGCTACCTAATCACATAACAGATATCCACCGCAGAATTCCAAACTAATAAATTTCTCAAATACAACTTGTTTTAAGTTGGAGGCTACACACATACACACATACATACATACATACACACACACAGTTGAGTTAAGGATATTAGAGAATTTGGTCTTTGAAAAGAGTTAACATAAAGGGACTATTTAGTTACTGAATTTTAAAGTCCCATTCCCCAAGCATCTCTATACTTTTTAGGAATTATTCAATTCTAGAAAACAACACTATGAGACAAGTTATTATCTTCAATTCACAGATGAGGGAATTGTGAAGAAGATAAATATATTATCTAAGATTTCACAACTGGTAAGATGAAGAATCAAGATTCAAACCTTATCAGTCTAACCCTAGGGCCCACATTCTCAGCCAAAACACCATTCTGTCCCCCCCAAATAACACATGGTCAATATATATAAAGTACTCCAGTAAAAGCATGACATATGCCTTCAGGAAAACAATCATTTGAGCGAGAGCTTTAAATAGCACTCATACATAAATACATTATCTTACCTCTTTTGATCATTATGAGACACAGGACAATTAAGTGCTAAGAGTATTATGTACTATTAATTTGAACTAAAAACAAATGAAGTTCAAGTTCCTATTTCACTATTTATGTGCACAATCTTATTTTAGTAAGAATTCTTCTATAACACATTTTATAAATGCATCTAATTTAAATCTGTTTATTTTTTCAAGATGTTTTAAGTCTTTAAAAAAGACCATATGAAGTGGCTCTCAGGCTCTTGCACTTCCACCACTCTTGAGGAGGAACACTACAGGTCATAAGGAAGCAGCAGCGACGCAAAATCTTCTCTCAGATGTTAATTTGTTTCAGGTCAAAGATGAAAGATTCCTACATAGGTCAGAATAGGTTATCAACTATCTTAAAAATATTTTCTTTGTCCTAGTTAATTAAAATAAACAAATTTCAACAATTAAATAACCCATTAGGACTCATACCCACATCCTAAGAGAAAACTCAGCCTGCACCTCAAAATCTTTCTTCAGAATAGACTATCATCTAATTTCTAATTTGTGTTCTCCTTCTAGTAGTTCATTTCACTATATTAACCACTCTGCTAATACATATCACTTGTGTATAACTCCTGCCACCTTATATGCATTACATATGAAGGAAAAAAACCATGCCTACTGGCAGTCTGTAAATCATGCCGATTAGTAAAAGATAAGCAATTTCTAGAAGGCTTTCATTATCTTGAATCAAAATCTTTTTAAACTTTTCATTATGAAAATCTTCAAACATACAGAAAAGATAATATAGTGCGATCATCCAATATAAATATACCTTCCACCTAAGATTCAACAACTGTTAACTATAAATAAAAATTGAGGATCCTTTAAAAATGTTTCTTGAAGACTTGCTGTATTTATTCCATTTTAAGATCCAGCAAGCTTACTTACATGTCATATTATTATTCCTTCTCTTTTACTCATAATAGAAATTTATCCAAGCTGTTCAGGTGAGAAAAAGGTATTGGAACTGCCTTTTTGGAAAAAGAGAAGGTAGGAACATTTTAGCCCAGTTCACTAACCTATGGTTCAGAGTTATGGGCATATGTAAGTTTGGAAAAAAAACTTATCATCGATTTGTGTGCTGGTGAAGGATGTGGTTTTAGTTCTCACTGTTTTACAAAGGAATCCATTGGTACTTCCCTGCAGTTCTAGGAAAGCTTTGACAATCCCCAAGGGGCAATTATGTTACTCTTTCACTGCTTCTCAGAAGGAAGAATTAAGTTTTTGATTTATTGCTCCTACATGCCTTCCTTACAAACATTCAGAACTGGGAAGCTTATCTTACAATTATTTCAGTAATTATATGAGGTTAATGACTTTGAGCACAAAACAAATATTTTGCAATTGTGTGTTTATTTTTACATAAACATTTAGTATGTGAATTACACAATTTTAATAAAATCATGGCTTTCATTACATCTAATTTGAGCGTTCAACTTCACGTGACAGAATACTTCTCTAAAGATACTTCAGTGAAAATATGAAAATATATAGTTTTGTATGTTGATTATACTTCAAAAATCCATATATTTGTCATATTTATTTTTTAAAAAACCTCCTGATTGCATGACTAAATGGTATTTAAAATGAACCTCTCCAAAATGTCTGGTAACTTTGTCCAAAATTTTATGTGTTAGAAACTGTCAGTTATCTGTGTTAAGAGTTCATAAGAAAATAGTTTAAAATTATATGTATTTTATATTACTTTGGTGTCTGTGTGTACCATATTTCTCAATACTCATTATTAAACTGATACCTTCTAAAACCTTAAAAAAAATTGAGGTTCTTTTTTTATACAAAAATTATTAAAACAAAGTAAAAGCTGTATTTGGTACTCTACTGATCATTTATTCACTTCATATTCTTTAAAATATATTAGCAAAGAAAGTTACCCACTAAAAAGTATTTTTTCTCAATAGCCTATCTTTAAACAAAAAAATAAATTATTTATTCAAGAAACTAGTATTTCTAAAAATTGAGGCTGTATATATCTTTTGATATAGGCCTAATTTATAATTTTGAAAAGCTACTTTGCTTACTACAAAGCTGAATCCTTGCTAAAAACAAAATAGTTTAATAAAATCTAAGTTAATGTATACCAATATTTCTGCGGTTCCCTAACAGAGATCATAGCCCCCACTAACCTATCCCTCAGAGCCACTGGAGATGGTTTTTGAAACACAGAGGTTCCTTGTGATCTCTACATTATGGACCTTTCACGACTGCTACACATAGCTGGTGGCTACCATACTGAATAGCAAAACTCTACGTTATCTATTTCCTATGATTCCCTTTTAATAAAAAGGTAATTAAAAAGGAATTAAAACTTTTCAATTAAGGGAGAAATTTAAATGAGGCTTCAGTCCCCAGGTGGGTAAAAACTTAGCTATTCCTTCAGGGATTAGCCAGTAGTCCAGACAGGATAATCAGTTCTGCCCCATAAGCTGTGAAAGAGGGCAAAAAAATAGTAATAGTAAAAAAAATTCAAAACCATGCCCATAGAGAACACTGAAATATTCCAAGGCTATCTTTTTCCTCAAAGCAATGAACTAGGATGGGCGGGGGGTGCAGTAAAGCTTCCTAAGAGAACCCCGTTCTGACAGTTAGCAATTGAGTTTGGCTGTATTATTGTACAATATCTCATCAATTATCTATTACTTATGCCTTGTTCTCATGTTCTACGAGCAGCAATAGAAGCTCCAACATTATGAGAGGCTGTCAGCATGTGAACTACTAATATAAACACAAATACCTAGAACACTTTTCATTAAGCAAAAAGACACTGTTACATTAGCACATCCTTAATAAACTTTAGTAAATTTGGTGGGGTTTTTTCTTCACTTTCCCATTATATAACTGTAAAAGCAACTGGTGTTAGCGTTGGAGGTTGGTCATTTACAGACTTCATGATCTCAAACTTTGTGAGCTTTTTAAGGAGTCAATAGTCAAGAAATATACTTTGTGGATGAGCTTTTGGCGAACCAAAAGAGAACAATGTTCAAAAATGAGAAATCAATCAGCACTGAAGATACAGGCCAACTTTGGACTTAAATACTTCCACCAAATGGCAATGAAAACAAGATTTACAAGCCAGGTACAAACCACATACAAGCAATCTAACACAGTACCAAGATCCTCTGCTTCATAAAAGTATAATAAAAGCCAATTCAGTCTTTAGCAGACTTGTTTGGGAAATGAGCTGATTTTAGAAAAGTGACAAATAATGCATATCCACATTACATGACTGTGATAGTCACCAGAAACTATGTATGATCAAGTCCGTAAGTCTTACAATCTAAATGTTTCACTTGCAGGAAAGTAAAAGTGTTTTTGGAAATGGTGATTTTTATTTTTAAAGAACATATTTTGTACAGGGGCCTTAATTTGTAAAATTTAACACTAATGATCCTCCACATTTCTAAGAACAATCTGTCTCTTAAGTCAAATTTAAAATACTACTATTCACTCAAACTACTACTAACTAAAAGAACAATTAGTTTTAAAATAACTTTGAAATCAGTATACATTAAGACACATTATTGATTATACCCTACAAACATATTTCCTTCTGATCCTAAAAACTATCAGGTTAAAGACAGAAGAATATTAAAGAAGTCTGTTTTTTAGGAGGCTATAGAATAAAAGAGGGAATAAGAATGCACTAAATAAAAATGCATTTAAAGTTGGAAAAATTTAACTGGGTATTTTACCAATAACTTATTGACAAATATAAAAAAGAACATGACAATTTTTATTCTAAAACATACACATTGCTAAATATTAAAATCTACTACTACATACTCATTTGCTCAGCTGATATATTTATTTTATTAAATAAGCAAAATTAAGTTATAAGATGAGATCATATATCAAAAAATATATTTATAACCAGGAAATTCAGGGCATGTTTAAAAGCATTTGTTTTTATATGATTTCATTAGATGAAATGAGAACTTAAAAACTCATCAGTTTGGCATTTAATATAAAAATCCATACATGCACATTACGATACTTATTAGTGTGTGTAATTTTTCCAGTTGGACTCAATTAAAACTCACCTGTTTTGTTGATTTTTTTGTGCCATTAAAAATCTTCCAAGCTAGCCCATTGCCACCACTGGCAATGTGTCGACCAACATCGAATTCTCTAGTGACAGGATTTCCCATTACAGCACTGGTGACATCTGCTGTTACTTTTGTAACAGTACTCTTCAACTTATTAAGCATGGACTCCATGGCTGCAATATTGGGTAATTATAGTTGCCTAGAAACAAGGGGGATAGAGGAGCTCTCATCATTTGTTTTTACTAGTTTACACACTTAACGTGCAAAATTTAGTCTGAAAAGCTTAACATACCCATACAACGAGCAAAACAATCCTACAGAGAAAAAGCTAAATGTTGGTTTGGTCTTCTAAGAACCCAATGTAACTTGCATGCAAATTTACTTATAGGAATCAAACTGTTCCCTTCAATCTCAATTGTCACAGACCAAGGAGAAAAAGACATATTCACACTTGACACTGATATGACGTTACTCAACTATATAACTTGGACCCTTTAAAATATACAGTGGTATAAAGGGTCTGAATCTTCCTTCGCACTAAAAACAACACTATAAAATTTGAAAAGAGCTAATGCTATACTAAGCAATAAATTTATATTTTATAAAAGTTTGGTTCATTAAAATAATTGCTATTGAACTGTGAAATCATTTCAAAATATATTCTAAAAGAACAGTATTGATAACAAAAGGACAATAAAACATGCACAAGCAATAGGTCATGAAAAGATATTTAAATTTTTACAATTTCTGGCCATGATAGAAAAAGACTGCATTTACCCTCACCTTAAACAACCAGAAACTGGACAAAATATATGAAATAAACATTTTCAAACACTGAACAGGCAGCATAGGTTTATAACCCCAGTGAGAAAGCAAAATAACAAGGTGGATGAATCCTAGGACTGCCCCTGCTTTCTGCCTAGAGGCCCAATACAAACCAAATAGCGAAGAGCAGAATTCCAAGAAGCAGTTTAGCTGAATTAAAAAGTTGAAGAGACAAGCTGAAATTCAAGGATGCTGAAGTAGATGGGAGTTCTGGAACAGAATTTAAAAGAGAATGGGGAATATATTTTTGAGAGAGAAAGAGAGAAGGAAAGGACTGTGCTGACACAGATCTCCAGAAATTTGCATAGGAGTCCCCTTGATGCTTTGTTACTACTAAGATGCACTTGCATAGTGTGAAACTCCACCAGGTCGGATAAGGACCAACTACAGAGCTGTGAGCTGAATAGTTCCAGAGTTCACAGAGGGCTGCAAATCATTTAATTTCTCACCAGCGTGCCTGGAGAGTCCTTATTGATCATTAAAAGCATCAGTAGAAATACCAAAAGGACCATGCTTAACTAGTAGAATAGACAATTCTCAGATTAAAAGCTACTCTAAACCTGCCCTAACAAACTAAAAGCAATTCTCAAGCGGTCAAACTAATCACACATTACCTGGCCTACTAAAACGAACCCCACACTCATTAAAGGAAAAAAAAAATTAGATACTAAAACAAATGACATTCACAATGTTCATCATGCATTCAGTAATTATTAGACATACCAGGAAGCTAGAAAATATGACCATATTCAAGACCAAATTCAGTCAATAAAAACAAACTCCAAAATGATCGATTACAAAATTAACAGACACTAAAAAGCTATCACATGTCCATATATTTAAAGGAAAGCATGAACATAATGGAAGAAAGTGGAATATATTTTTTAAATCCAAATGAAAATTCTAGAGATGAAAAAATAGCTCAAATAATTCAGAAGATATAATTAACAGATTAGAGAGTATAGGAAAAAAAAGAAAAGATCAGTGAAAACTGAAAGTGGAGTAAAACACTGAAAAAAAGTCTCAGTGGAAATGTCATGGTCTAACATATATAACTGAATCCTAAAACTGAGGGGGAGAAAGAAGAAATAATATTTGAAAAACTAATGGCCAAAAGTTTTTTAAATTCAATGAAAACAGCAAGAAACGCAATGAACCATAAGCAGGATAAACATAAAGAACACCATGCCTGGACATGTCATATCAAATAGCTAAATATCAGTGGTTAAGAGAAAAATCTTAGAAGCAGCCAGAGAAAACAGGAAAATTATATATAGAGAGGAACAGAGATAAAAATTTTCCCCAGACTTTCCATAAGAAACTATGCAAGCCAGAAAACAACCGAATGAGTATTAAAAGAAACTTGTCAACCTAGAATTCTACAAGTCATGTGAAAAACACTTTCAAGAATAAATGTGAAATAAAGACTTTTCAGAAAAACAGTATCTGACAGAATTTGTTGCCATGTGATACTCACAATAAGATACATTAAGGAAAGTTCTTTAAACAGGAGGAAAAAGATGAGCAGATGGAAATCTGAATCTACAATAGGAATGAAGAACACGGGAAATAAAAATTACATGGGTATATTTAAAAAAACGCATTATAGTTAAAAATAGTAGATCATTGAAAGCAAAAACAATTACAAAGTATATTGTGTTTAAGTAAAAAATATGACAAAAAACAAGCCAGGGACAGGAGAGAGGAAGTGGAAGTATATTTTTGAAAGACTCTTAACATTGTATGTGAGGTAGTACATCATCAACTGAAGGTAGACTGTGGCAAGTTAAAGACATATTATAAACTCTAGAGTAAAAACTAAAGATATAGCTAAAAAGCCAATAGTGGAAATAAAATGGAATCCTAAAATAAACTGAATACAGAAAATAACAGGAAAAGAGAAAGAAACAAAGAACAAATGTGACAAATAGACAACGCCTATCAAACAGTATATTTAAATCCAACCATATAAATAATTACATTAAGTGTAAATCATTTAAATTCCAATTAAAAGGCACAGACTGTCAAACTAGATTTTAAAAGCAAGACTGGACTATATGCTATCTTCAAGAAACACACTTTAAAACCACTTTACAAGATGATTTAAAAGTAGAAGAATGTAGCCACGAGCTGTTGTGGCTACATTAATAACAGACAGAATAGGCTTTAAGACAAAGGGAGACATTAATAAAGTTGTTCATTCATCAAGAAGACACAACAAACCTAACTGTGTATGCACTCAATGATAGAGCTTCCAAATAAATGCAGCAAAAAGTGATAGAACTGAAAGAATTAAAAGACAAACCCACAATTATAGTGGAAGACTTCAAAGGTCCTGTCTCAGTAACAAATGGACAGAAAAACTAAGTAGATAGAAAATCAGGAGGAATATAGAAAACCTGAACAACAGTATCAAACAATCTGACCTAAAACACTGTATAACAGGATATATTTACTTTTCATAAATGCATGGATATATAGGTAAATTATGTGCTGGGCCATAAAATATATCTCAACATTTAAAACTACTGAAATACTACATATTCTTCGATCACAATGAAATTAAACTAGAAATCAGGAACAGGTAATGATCTAAAAAAATGCAAATACTTGAAAATTTAACAAACTTCTAAATAACTCAAGGGCTGAATAAGAAATCAGAGAATATTTTAAAATATTTTGAAGTGAATGAAAGTGAAAGAGCTATGGGATGTAGGTAAAGCAGTGTTTAGTGGGAAATTTATAGCTTTAAGTGTTTACAATAGAGAAAAAAAATCCAAAATCAATGGTCTAAGCTTCCACCTTATGAAGCTGGTTAAAATAAAAAATAAAAAAGAGAGAGAACCAGACAGAAAATTAAGCTCAAAATATGTAGAAGGAAATAAAGAGTAGAAATCAATGAAAGAGACTAAATTTAATGTAATTTAATACTCTAATAGAGAAGTGAAAAAGAAAAATAAAGTCAATGAAGCCCAATCTGTTTTTAAAAGGTAAACCTCTAGCTACATTAGGAAAAAAATGACCAATATCAGTAATAGAGGCAATCTGGCCTCTCTATATGTCTTATAGATTCTAAATAAATAAAGTATTATATAATGGAAGACCTTATGCCAGTTAATTCAACAATGTGGATGAAATGGAAAATTCCTTGAAATCCACAACTACCAAAATTGACTCAAGAAGAAACAGAAAGTCAGAACAGTCCCATATAAAAGAAATTCAATTTGTAACTACAACCCTTACCACAAAGAAAACTCCAGGCTCAGGGGCTTCCCTGTTGAATTCTATCAAACATTTAAGGAAGAAATAACCAAGCTGATACAAGATCTTCCAGAAAATTTTATGTCATATAGTCTGTGCTGCCCTGATACCACCACCAAATAATTACATAATAAGAAAACTGAACATTAATATCCCTCATCAACATGTAAAATTCTGTAAAAATATTAGCACATCAAATCCACCAAATCCAACTCTCACAACCAAATGGGATTTATTTCAGAAATGCAAGGCTGGTTTCAGGAATACAAGGGTGATTCAACACTCAAAAAAATCCATCAAATCCATGTAATTCGTTGTATTAACTAACTGAAAAATGGAGAAAGAAAACATATCTCAGTACAGACAATAAAAATTTTAACAGAATTCTATACCTATTCATGATAAAAAAAAAACTCTCAGCAAACCAAGAACAGAAAGAAACTTCTCCAGGCTGCTAAGTGGTATCTTTGAATACCTAGAGCTAATGTTATATTTAAAGATGAAATATTGATGGCTTTCTCCCTAAGTTTGGGAACAAAGTAAGGATACCTACTTTTACCACTTCTATCAGTACTCTAATAGAGGTCCTAGCCAAAACAATAAAGAGAACAAAATGAAAGTCATTTGGATTGGGATGGAAGAAGTAAAACTCTTTATTCCTAAACTGCATGATCATGTAATGTAGGTCAGAAGAAATCTACAAAAGAGCCACTAGAACTAATACTTGAGTTTAGCATGACAGCAGACTACAAAAATAATACATTTGAAAAGACTTGTTTTCTACATAAAACAGACAATGAAATTTCAAAAAAACGAATTCCAGGATGTGAAATAACCTACAGGTAAATTTAATGAGATATACAAGACTTGCACGATAACAACAACAAACTGCTGAGAAAAATTGAAGATTAATATGACGAGGTGTGTCCAGAGAGCATCCAGCCGTGCAATATGAAAAACAGACATTTATTGAAGGTACAGGATACAAGAAACCGTAGGACAATGACGCCTCAGTACCCTTCAAAGTAGGCACCTTGGGACCTCACAGTTCTCCCAGTGCCTCTTCCACTGTTCAAAACATTCTGCAAAATCCTTTGCTGGGATCACCATCAG